GACTGTGGTCTGCAAATGTGTTAGGTAAAATATCTATTTGCTCCAATTTTTTCATTAGACTTGCTGAGATCCAACATACATCAATTCTTGATGACAAAGTATAGTCTTTTGTCTTTGGGTAACATGTCTTCCAGGCATCTATGATATTTACTTCTTCTGCCAATTGTAGAAAATGTATTGTGATCGTTCCTCTCTCTTTTTTAGTTATTTTATCTGATTTTGTGTCTGGTTCTTTGTCAAAAACAGCATTAAAATCTCCTATCAAACAATAGTGATCATAATCTTTGTTTGTTAGTTCTAGTAGTATGTTTTTAAATAAATTATCTTGATTTCCATTTGGAACATAAATATTAATAATTAGCATCCAAATTAACAACAATTACAGGTTTTCAGACCCCAATATTTGTACAGTTCCAACCTCAATACGATGTTCCAGAATCCCAAACAGCATTCCACATATCAAATCAAAGCTAGGAAAAATCTCAGGCTTTCCCACCTCAATATTTGTACAGTTTCAACCTCAGTGTGATGTTCCAGAGTCCCAAAAGGCTTTCCACATATCAAATCAGATAAATTTGTACTCCAACCTGCTCCTTAGGCAATATAAGAGGTGTGTTGAGGCTGTCATTCAGCTTTTCCTCCAGTAGGGGTCCTTATAATCCACCGTATGTTCCTTCCATTAATCCATAAATCCAATCATCAACTCCAGTCCTGGATTTCCCAGTTCCACAGTCCACCCTCGGTGAGCATATCTCTCTCCCCTTGGAATGAGTTAGCTTCACCCAGTATATAATAAAACCCTTTACAGCCATAGCCTCTGAGGGGGATCTCCCAAAGCTTCCCCACCCCCAGGGATATTATACAGTTCCGAAGTTTTGACGGCACTTTGTCTGAACTGTTGAGAAATCTGGCAGTGTGATGTTATGTTTTTCACTCTGTTTTCCTGACTGATAACAGCTTTAAGTCGTCCAGTCCATAGTTGTATTATATCGTTTAGTCGTATCCGACTCTTCGTGACCCCATGGACCAGAGCACGCCAGGCCCTCCTATCTTCCACTGCCTCCCAGAGTTATATCACCCTGGGATTATTTCCAGAATCAGTTTTTTCTCTCTCAGTGTTCGGCCTTGACCAGCCTGCAGGCTAAAAGTTAGTTTCGCTGTCTGAGGCAGCAGGACCGGTAAGCAAGCTAGCCGCTTCTTCCCTTCTTTCGGCCAATTATTCTGCACTCTAGTTTCTCTTTCCGCTTTATGGGGCTGTTCATAAATCAAAGGCTTCAAAATCAAAGGCTTCAATTTACTTTATTGCTATCAGTTTTCAACACAGTATCTGTTCTCCTCTCCTCCATAGGGGGTGGTTTAATCACAGCTTCACTGCCCAATATGGCTCCCGCATCCAATCTATGCTTGGGTGATCTCTTCAGAGGGAAGAAATACCAGGTTGCTGCCCAGCTTCCTTCCCCTCTGTTGCTCACCAACTACTTCAGGGAGACTTCTCCTAGTTTCCCCCCTCCAGACCGGGAGGTTCCAGCTTTCTCCAGGAGCTGCTGGCAACACGGTGACAAGCCCCCCTCTCCAGCTCCGTGCCTTCTCAAATAGGGTTGCCAGATGTCAGGCAAAAGGAGGACATGTCCTCCTTTTTAGCCTAATGTCCTCCGTCAGGCAGGCAAAGATAAACACCTTTAAAATGTCAGGCTTTTGTATATTTTATAATTTTGGATGGGAGGGGGAGAGGTGGAAGGATCCCCTCCCCCGCCCCCACCCGCTCACCCACTCCCCATTACCTGCCGTTGGCGCTGGAGTGTAGCCCTTACCCCCTCCTGCAGTGGCGGCGGCAGCTCGGTAATCTGCCATGCCCGTCCAGCCCACATGGAGCCCAGAAAGGTGGTGCGAATGGAGCACCGCCCGCCAAGCCAGGCAGGAACAAGCTGCGCCTGAGTACATCGATGGGAAGGCGAGCACCTGGAGTGTGTGTGTTCAAAGTCCCTTTCGGGGACTCCAACTCCCACGTGCCCCAGCCTTGAACTTGTGACCCTTGGGTGAGGGGAGGCTGCCTCATTCAGTTTTGCCTGGTGCCGTTTTCCCCCTGCCTGCACTGGGGCCTTGTTTGGGTCTCCAGATTAGCAAGGTTGCCTCTGAGCCTGTGCAGAGTGCGAGCGGATGGGGGATCCTGCAGCCGGGCCGGGGTGGGTTCAGGTACAATTGGCTGTTTAAATGTTTTTTAGTATTTAAAAAAAAACAAAAAAAACACCTACATTGAAAATTTTTTAACTAAGAGATATTTATTGGCAGCTATTGTAATAAAATTGTATTGATTGCAGGTTTAATCCAGAACGATTCAAATGAAACATTCAATACGTCCTCCTCTGTCCTCTTTTTTGTCTTTCTATGTCCTCCTTTTGGTACCCATGTATCTGGCAACCCTATTCTCAAAAGGCAAGGGGCATGCTGGGCTTAGCAAAAAAGGAAGGGGAGGCATTGCTCTTCCTTTTTGCTAAACTCTGTGCCTTCTCAAAAGGCAAAGAAAAGTGGCAGTCACTTTGACAGCTGTTTTCCTTGCCTTTTGCCAAGGGACGGAGCTTAACAAAAAGGGAGCCCTTTGATCCCTGCTTTTTCTAATTTGGGGTTAGAAAAGGGGTGGTTGTCTTATACTTTGGGTCTTCTTATAAACAGAAAAATACAGTTTTTTTCCTTAAAATTAATATTGCTTCCTTCCTCTAAAAAAATACAGTTTTTTTCTTAAAATTAATATTGCTTCCTTCCTCTAAAGGCCATAGAGCTACATGCCTGTTTTTTTTGCCCATATCAATAATAATAATGTCCCATCAAATCAGTTCTGAGTTATGGCAACCCTTTTTAGGATTTTCTAGCATAGAAGTGGTGTACAATTCCCTTCTTCCAGTGGTCCCCTGGGATTGTGTAGTTTGCCCGTTTTTTTCTTAAAATTAATATTGCTTCCTTCCTCTAAAGGCCATAGAGCTACATGCCTGTTTTTTTTGCCCATATCAATAATAATAATGTCCCATCAAATCAGTTCTGAGTTATGGCAACCCTTTTTAGGATTTTCTAGCATAGAAGTGGTGTACAATTCCCTTCTTCCAGTGGTCCCCTGGGATTGTGTAGTTTGCCCAAGGCTATACAGGCTAGCTTTTCTGGGATGCCCTGTGAGGAACGAATTCCCACGCTCTGGCCCTGCAGCCAAATGGCTAACTCCATAAGCTCTCCAGCCAGTTTGCATGCCAATACAATGAGCTAAATGGCTAGATGTAAATTTGCTTGTTTTATACAAACTATAATAAGTTTTTAGATAACAATTCCAGTGTGCAGTTTAATGTTTATAGGGGCTACATAGTATAGTTAAGCAGTATGAACATATATTTTTTAAAGGGAGAAACCAAATCGTAAGTTGTAAGACTACAGTCCTAACATATTTGTGTTGCATTCCTTACAGGCAAGGAATAATTATGGCAAAGAAGTGGATATCTTTGCATTAGGATTAATTTTGTTTGAAATGCTGTATGCATTTGAAACTGATCATGAGAGACACAAGGTAAATAACTCAAAGGTAGTTTATTTCAATTTTATTTCCCTGCATATATTAACCTATTTGCACAGGAGGTACATGTACTGTACATGAGTTGTGGAGTTGGAACACTTGCAGTGAATGGAAGTGATAGGAATGTATGGGTGCGCATTTTTGTGTGTTTTGGACAGCGGTCTCTGGAAGGCTAACAGAATTCCCCAGACAATTCTGGCAATTGCAGGCCACAGAAACAAGTTTGCAGACCCCTAGATTTCATCTCCTTAGAGAAGACCTTTTGGCTCACTTGCCTCAGATTCTAACTTTACTTCATCTTAATTCCCTCATCCTCCGTGGTGCTTCATGGGAGTCATCGTTTCTTGGGAGGCTCCCTCTGTAGAGCCTGGTGAGCAGCAAGACTACGATTCTTAGAAAACACCATGGCAGCTTTATCTCATTTTCTTTTTGTAAATCCACAGGAAGCAAGTCCAGAGAAGCTGATGGTACAGGGAAACAATCTCAAAGTCCTGCCTAGAGGGGTGAAAGCTACAAGTGTCCTGCTTTAGTTTTGTGGGCTGCAAATTCCAGAATTCTTGGAGAATTCTGGAGATTGTGGGTCAGAAACACCAAAGGAAAAAGATGAAAGGGGATTTTAATTTGTCTATATGCAGATGAGAAATGTTCTAGAAAAGCTGGCTGCAAAGACCTTTTAGAACCACATCTTCCACAGAAAGTACTAGTGCAGCAGAGGTATCAGGAGACAGTTTTGTTAGCAGCCAACTTTGTCACCAATTTTGCACAGAATACATATGACATGAGCGCTCTGCAACCACAAGTCTGTTTGTATGTCCCCAGAACCTACCCTAATTTTCAAGATTTTTTAAAAAAATAATTTGTCAGAAAAGGGGGAAATTGAACCTTTTCTTTCTAAACCAAGGTGTGGCATCTCCCACTCATTCTTTTAGGAGAAAATTTAGGGTTTTTTTCAAAACTGAAAATAATGTCGTTCAGAGATATTCTTAAGGGGCAGTTAAATAATCTTTTTTTTCTTATAGACGTTGTGGAATGTTAGAGAAGGTGACTTTCCAAAAGAGTTCTGTGAACGTTTTCCAAGAGAGGTATGCTGCATTAAACCATTTTCATGGATTGTTTTATCTATACCTATTGTGTGGATTAACAAATAATTGTGTCATCTTTCTTTACAGATGAAATTAATTAAGAAACTCATTGCAAAAGAGCCATCTGAAAGACCACCAGCCAATAGTATTTTGAAATTTCTAGACAACCAACCACACAACGCACATACTTTCTAGCTAACATCTGTCAAAATACAGCTGCAGTACTTTGGTCCATTGCTGGTGGTTGCGGTAGCTGATGTTGATTAAGCTCATACAAATCAAAATGTGACATGAGGGCACACAAATTGCTTTGTCTTTTCAAATTTGCCAGTTTGTTCCTTCCTCTATGTCCTGCTAGAAACTTTGGGATGTATTAAGGGTGTTTCCATTAGAGACATGACCTAACCACAAGATTTGGTTTGGACCACAATTCAGTACTTTTGAATATGGTCCACTTCAACTTTAGTGGGTTTGACATCAGCCTGGTGTGAGCCACGCTTTGTACAAAGCTACAAATACAAAATTTAATTATAGCTGTCTGTTAACCTTGCCATATTTCATACTTCAGATGAATAGGTGCAGAAAATTTTGTGCAAGTGTTGTCTTCCCATTTGCAAGGTATAACAAAGGAGAACATGCTTATACCTCAGGTTTCTTGTGGATTATTGCTTTGAAAATGACAGAACAAAGACAGGGTGTGATCAGATAGTGAGAGAGGTGAGCATCTGATTGCAGTGGAGAAGGCTGTTTTGCCAGGAATGCTCTCCCTTAAAGAGGCCTTGCCATGCAGCAGGGAATAACGGCAGCTCAGTCCCAAAAAGTAGTAGTCCTAGAACTAACAACTGCTGGATAGCTCAGTGGTTTAGGTGTCTGACTATGGAGCCAGAGGGTGAGAGTTCAATTCCCCACTGTGCCTGCTTGATGGGCTGGAACCAATGATTCATAGGTTCCCAGTACTGCAGTTCTAATATTATTATTACTGTTGGACCAAAAAAGGTGCAGTTTGGGCATGGACTAGAATGCTATTTCCTGTATATCATGTGATCACCAGGAAATAGCACTAGACCATGCCACAAGTGGTCCAGAATGTGAGCTATATCTCAGTGCAATCACACCCAGAGACAGCTTTTAAGTAACAAAGCCACAAATTCTGAGTAAGCTAGGTGCAACAATTCATGTAGAAGGAGAGTTAGTGAAAAAAATTGTTCCCTCTTCTTGTGTTATGTTTTCTTTTTTGGATAGTTTATGTGAAACAACACATCATACACAGGGAAGAAGGGTGCAATATTTCAGAAGTACAGTGGTGCTCCGTTTAACGCTTACCGCGCTTGACAACAAATCCACTTCACTATGAAGTTTTTGCAGTCGCTTTTGCGATCGCAGAACGATGTTTGAATGGGGTTTTTTTGCTTTGCGATGATTAGTTCCCTGCTTTGGGAACTGATTCTTCGCATTACGACGATCAAAAACAGCTGATCGTCGAGTTTCAAAATGGCCACCGGGTGTACCAAATGGCTCCGCGCTGTGTTTAGGAAGGCTTTTTGGCAAGACAGGGAGCAGAAAATGGCTCCCCTATGGAGGAGCTTCACTGGATGGTGAGTTATTCAGCCCATTGGAATGCATTGAATGGGTTTTCAATGCATTTCAATGGGATTTTTTATTTTGCTTGACAAGGATATCGCTTAACAGCGATTTTGCTGGAACGGATTATCCTCGTCAAGTGAGGCACCACTATAAATGCAGAGTTAAGGTGTCACAAAACATGAAAAACAGTTTTAACATTTCCAAAGAGTTCAGCAAGTAATACTGAGGACTTCCTTAAATAATCCAGAGAATTAAAGCACAGAACTGTTCTACACGAAATAAAAGTAATAAACAATATGTAGTTATTAAATAAGCTAATGTAAATTATTAAATTCCTTTTGCATAGCTTGGGAAAAGGTTGGGAAGCAGCAGCTGCTGCTTCTCTCTAAACTGGAAGTAGACCATTACAATTAAACTGAATAGTATTAGTAGTTGCTAAATTATATTAAAACTTGCTACTGCAGTCTATTGAAATAAGTAAAATATTAAAAGGGACGTGGTGGCGCTGCGGGCTAAACTGCAGAAGCCTTTGTGTGCTGCAGGGTCAGAAGACCAGCAGTTGTAAGATTGAATCCACGCGACGGAGTGAGCTCCCGTCGCTTTGTCCCAGCTCCTTGCCATCCTAGCAGTTCGAAAGCATGTAAATGCAAGTAGATAAATAGGTACCACCTCGGTTGGAAGGTAAATAGTGTTCCGGGTCTAAGCCGCGCTGGCCACGTGACAACAGAAATTGTCTTCGGACAAACGCTGGCTCTACGGCTTGGAAACGGGGATGAGCACCGCCCCCTAGAGTCGAACACGACTGACTAAAATGTCAAGGGGAACCTTTACCTTAAGATATTAAAAGTTCAAAAAATTAGCTAGTTTGGCCATACACTCTGGAGGAACGTGACCCTAAGATGTGGGCTAATCTGAAAAACTGGTCCTCAGCCTCACTTAAGATTGCTGACCTGACTGATGCCATATATACCTGTTAGTCTTTACAGGGTCTTATATTAAGTTTTGCTCCAAAAAACGCATTAGGGCATATTTTCAGGGGATCTTTTTTTTTCATGTACAACCATCTACATTTATTCAAATACAGTCATGTAATCTTCTGGTTGCTGCACAATGGTAGAGGGCAGGGTTTCACTTAACTAGGGCTTATTTTTGGGGTAGGGCTTATATTACTAGCATCCTGAAAAATCCTACTAGGGCTTATTTTTAGGCTAGGTCTTATTTTTGGGGAAACAGGGTAGACATCCAAGAAACTGATTATTAAGTAGATGTCTGAAGTAGATTTGAAAATAACCAATTAAGTATTAAACGCTCTTGCAATAGTATTGGCATTCTGTGGTATGGGTTCTTAAAGGAAAAGGGTTGTACCCAGTGCACATTATCAGTTTCAGTGTCCATTCCTAGGGCAGGACAGCCACTTGGATAAAGAGTCAGGGTGAATTCTTGGGCAATCCTCCTCTGCACTAGCAATTCCTTAATTGGAATTCTTTCAAAGAAATAAATATTTGTATTAAATACAGTATTTAAAATCAGACACATTAAGGTATCAAGATCAAATGTTTGTTTTTAGTGGAATTTTTAAATGTTAGGAACTATTGTTGCTATTCTGTTTTGCTAGCTTCTGTTGTGCCTTGCTATGTAGTCACTTTTATTATCTAATAAATTACGCATTTTAAAAAGAATCTTGCCTGTTTATTTTTTAGGGAACATTTTCTATAAGAATTTCCTGTCTGTGACTGTTCCCCTTTCACTGGGCTTGCCTGCCAGCATTTCAGTTCAATCTTAGCTCTTTTCTAGTGGCTTATCTGCACAGTTAGAAATGTAGACTCCAAATAAACCTAGTAACAGACTTATTATTGCTATTCATAGCTAAAATCAGTGTTCTCTGCATGAAGCTGTAGAAGAGTTGGTTTGTATGAAGGCAAATGTTAAAGACCAAGACACTCTTGTGATTTGGGGGGTGGGTACATCAGTGGTGGGCTGGGCATTGTCTTTCCATTTTGATTGGTAGTCACAAACTTCTAATTCCTGACAACATCAGGCAAAATCTCATCAGATACAGTTGCTTTGAATAATTACTGCTTTTCAGTTGGTCAAACATTAGTTTCGTTAGGAAAACTATTCCTATAAAACATCTAAAATATTAACTGATCGGTTTGGTCAGTTGTAAAATATTTAAGCATGCTTACTTTAAAGAGAATCTTAAATTCAATAGGTTTAACTCACAACTAAATGCAAATAGGATTTCAGCCAAAATTGCCTGTTTCTATTTTTTGGCTTACACGTACTCACTTCCCCCTTCACATTTAGTCCAGTTGTGTCTAACTTTAGGGTGCGGTGCTCATCCCCGTTTCCAAGCCATAGAGCCAGCGTTTGTCCAAAGACAGTTTCCATGGTCATGTGGCCAGCGCAACTAGACACAGAATGCTGCCACCTTCCCACCGAGGTGGTACCTATTTATCTACTCGCATTTACATGCTTTCAAACTGCTAGGTTGGCAGGAGCTGGGACAAGCAACAGCTCACTCCGTTGTGTGGATTTGATCTTATAACTGCTGGTCTTCTGACCCTGCAGCACAGAGGCTTCTGCGGTTTAACCCAAAGTGCCATCACGCGCCATCACTTCCCTCTGAAACACATGTCTTAGGGCTGCACTATTTTTATGGCTCTTTCACCTCTGTTATAAAGTTAGTCTTGTTGCAGAGGACGTTGGTCCAGTCTTGTTAACTGCTTTATTTGTTTTTCTGAAAGGAACACACAGCTTACACAAGTAACAGTCAACTGATTGCACAATACTAATTTACAGTTTTCATATTATCGAGAGTTGGGAAGGAGCCTCTTTGAGTCTATATTTCCCAATGAACAGTAGTTCTGTTTTTAAATATACAAAAATCCCACAAAATATGTTAGCCTATAAAAATGCACAGTCTTCTAAATTAACCCATAGACTATTAGAAGTTCAAACTATTATGTTTAAGAAAATCATTCATGATCTGCAAAAGTATCTCCGGGGCAGTTGGTGGACATGTCTTCTTGATCTAGAAGATATAAAAAGTACAATTAAAAAAATTGACAATAGACATACTACACTGATGTTAATTCTGCTAAAGAAAGGGAGATTTGCATAGTAATGAGACAAAGGAAACCACACAAGTCATCAGAACAAGTTACTGAAGTTAGTAACCTGGTATATTTACACCTCCGAAAATGTACTGGAACAAACTTTCAAGGTTGGTATGGTGAGCATTCTCAAACCCAGCTACAACAAAACATTTCCCCCCTAAAACTAGTACTCAATTTTCTTTTGCAGCCAATCCTGCTTGTATGCATGACCTGTTGTATTCTGCATGCAAACTCAAATAGAGCAGGGGTGCACAAAATATGGCTTTCCACAGTTGCTCAACAACTCCCATCAGCTCTAGCCAACGGTGAATGCAGGGAGTTGCAGTACAGCAATGTTGGTGGGTGACACTTTGCTCTTTTGCTAGAGGTCCCCTGACCTTCCAAAGCAAGGTGAGAGCATAGGCCACAATGTTGGTGGCATTGGGGGAGACATGCTCAGATAGTACTTGCTCTTCTGTCAGGAAGACACAACTGGATTTCAGTCAATATATTTTTCTTTAAGGATCTTAAAAAGAAATCAATTACATAATTGTAAGAATGTTTGTCCTTTCCCTCAGGCAGCCCCTCTATTTCTGCGGGAAATAATACAGGTTGAGTCCGAATAACTTTAACAGAAGAACTTTTATTTTCCTCCACACCCTCCAGCACATCTTTGAACGGATTTAACGATTTTGAACTTGGCAACAAGCCATCATTAACAACATCCAAACTTTGATTAAAGTCCCATGGGGTTAAAGGCGGCATTCCCCATAAGGTCCCTTGAGCTCCGACGGGGTGGGAGACTCCTCATGGCACAAATTGTCCCACAACATTTGTGCCTAATCCACCCGCACTCGTCTAGACCTTCGTCAAACTCCGCTGTCATCCATTCACGTTCACGCTGTAATTCCACTTCTCTCAGCGCCACAATTACATTCCATTCTTTCACAGTCATACATGGAGAAGCTCCTTTACAACTTGGGGGATCGGGTAGAAGGCCTCTCATCAACCCCTGAGTACAGACCTTTTCGAAAGCTCTCCGTCTTTCTTCCCGCTTTCTCCTTTCGTACTCCTCCACCACCGTACTAAACCACACCACCCCCTCCTTATCCTTATAACCCTCACTGTCACTTCTGACTCCTCCCACTCCCCGTCAGCCAAACATACTTCTATCTTCACCTCCCCTTCCTTCTCCATCACCGCTTTTCCCTTTTCTTCGTCACTTTCGCCACTAGCTCGTTGTTCCTTCTTCCCATCATCTTTTTCTACTTTCACTTCTGCGGACGGCACACTCTTATTCTCCACACTTTCACAATAATACACAGTAATTACCATTTATGTACCATTAGGTTGATTCCAACCTATGCCAATCCTTACAAAGCTTGTAAGAGTGTTCAGAAGTGGTTTACTCATCCCTTTATTGGGCTCTCTGGAACTGTAGAGCTTGACCAAATTTTGCAGATTGACTGGTAACTACAATTCCCTCTCTCTTTACTACTGGACATTTAATAGACTTGGTCTTCTTAGGCTGTTACTCTGCTGAATCTGGAGTGACTGACACACTAGCTCTGGGGGCTGTAGCACCTCACATTCTCTCAACTCGAGAAAGTCCCAGCCAGTTGGCTCAGGGAGATGCTCTGTTGACAGCATCAACGCAGGTGCGTTTATAGCTATTTGGGTGGTGGCTTTCCATTCATTTATGAGAGACAAGAGGTGGTAGCAGTCACAAGTTGCCTCTAGAGTTGTTTTCAGTTTTGCTTTTACTGAGGCCTCAGAGTGCTGTGTGTCAAAGCCCATGACCAAAATAGAGAAGAGAAGGTTGTTTTTTAACTGAAAGCAAGAGGGGAAAACTCAGTTAACAAAACAAACAAAAACAGAAATTATGGAGACTTTAGGCCAGATAAGGACAGGAAGCAACACCAAGAGCTATGATCTGTGTGAGGGCAGGAAAAAATTGAACAAGAGTGGGGAACATGGAATCCTTCCATTAGCTCTGTTTGAATCATGTGACTGCCTGACCTTTCTGGCTAGGGAAAGGTTGAACCCATACTGTGTGCCTCTCCATCATTAGAGAATACCATTTATCAATTCAACCTGAGAGCAACTGAATAATGTGATTCAATTAAATGCTACTTAATATTTTAACAGCATATATACTTACCTTCATAGGCTGTTCCACACCAAATACAATAAAAATGATCTTCTCTTAAATAAGCTGTCAACATTTGTAATTTTTCACATTCCTGTTGATTAAAAAAAGTGAACCAATGGATTACCACAACTTTTCACATAAAATCCCATTTATTATCTTAAAGCTTATAGTAACTACTTCCCAGAGACCCACACAAGATTGTTTTTCCTCTAGACGATCCAGTGGCGTAATGCTTTAATGTGTCTGTGAAGAAATGAGAATGATTAATAAGATGATTGTGTGGATAATTTTCCCGTATCTTCTGAGTGAAACTATAAGACAGAGAGAACACATGTCATGATTTCCTCTTCTTCCGCATCTTCTTTTTCATTTGTTGAATTTACCAAGAACCAAACTGAAATAAAGGCTGGAATTCTCCTGCTTAGTGCTGTGACTCCCAACCTTGGATAACCCAGGTGTTCCTGGACTGCAGTTCTCTGAAGTCTTCACCATCAGTTGTGCTGGCTGGGGTTCTGAAAGTTGCATCCCAAGACCTTGGTTATCTAAGGTCAGGAACCACTGCCTTAGTGTATTAAATCATACTAGAGTAGACCCAATGAATCAGTAGGGATTTGGTGAGACCTCTGTAAGTTTCACTGACTAATATAATTCACACCACAGCAGGCCCATATGAATCTGTGTGATTTGCCACTTTATTCCCCATCAATATTCAATTCCCGCCCCCCCAAAAAAATTGTTTCATGTAATTTCAATAGTATCTTGTTGGGTCTCCACATCTAGCAATGCATTTGGGGAATAAGGTCGCACAGACCTACAGCACAGGTACCATATGGCCATTGAGATGAAAACAAACACAGCCTGGCAGTATGGCCCTGCCTTGAGATAGTGCTGAATTTGCTGGTGACATTTCTAAAGAAGTCGCCATGTTACTCTTTCTCAGCAGCTTGTTGAAATTAAAGGCAGGGAGAGGGAGAGAAATGAGGAAAAGAAAGACAAAATATTGGAACATTCTAATCATTTAGATTTACTTCAGTGCGAGCTTGATGTGAGTTCTGAGAGGTAAAGAAGGACCCCTACCCAGTTTACAGTTCCATCCAAACAGGTCACAGTGTTTTCAGGTGTAATGAAAACATTTTGAGTACTACAGAACATGGATGGCAGCTACAAAAATGCAACAAGGGAAGCACTGTACATCAAGTGTGAGATCAAGAGTTGTGCTTGATTTTGGCTCAACCCACTCCATTTCAGAAATGCTTCTCTCGTTAGTCCCTCTGTATGCATCTTGGGCAAAGCATCAGAAACAAAGTTATAAGATGAGATATCTATCAGTAAAATATCTATTTAGCCTCATTTTTTCATCATTGGGAGAAGAAAATATAGGCAACAATCCAATCCTCAGCCACAGAGACTGGCGAAGCGTCAGGAGGAACAACCTTAGGAACAGGGCCAAAGAGCCCGAAAAACCCAGAACAACCATTAGATGCCGGCCGTGAAAGCCTTCGCGAATATAACCATCCAATTGCTAGTCCCAGCTATGGAGAAAAATGGAATGAATAGGAACTTGATAAATCAACCCTTCCACAGATTACACATTTTAGTGGCTCAAATCCTGTTTTCAGAATAAGCCAAAACAAGCCATCCATCCTTGTTCAACAAAGCCCTGCTGATATTTGGGGCGTGGGCCAGGTTATTCACACATGCCAGCTTAGTGCATGCATATCCGTGCCCTACCAAGAACTGCAACTGTTGGAAAGTTGCACTTTGGCTTATGCTATGAACAAGATTTCAGCCAATGAGTCTACTCTAGTTGGGATTAACAAACAGATTTAGGACAGATACTCCAGAGAAGAGAAAGTCAAAGTAAATGCCACACAATAATCCTTTTTACGTAGTGCAATATTTGCTTTATTCAATACAGAATGAAGGAGAGGCCCAGTTAGATTTTTCCAGGGTTTTTGCTCGCATGGAGGGTTTCTGCACAAGCAGTAACCTTTCTTTTTCAGATCTGCCAGACATCAAGTAAAAAAGAAAAAGGCAATGGGAAGGGGCTAAGTGCTCCATTGCTTGCATGTTGAGTAAACCAGACATTCTAATGCCCAAATAGGGTAATCTCTTCATGTGAGCTGCCATCCACAAATTATGAAAAACACATATTTAAAGAAAATGAAAAACAAATATGTGCAGAAAGACTGGAAACAGAGAAAAGGGAGTGGCACAGTCACCAAGGAGAGGAGTGACTGACTGGATGCTATTTTGATGTGGGCCTACAACTGATGGTGGAGAGCTACTTCAAATCATGTCAGGAAACACAATGAACACAAGGCATAAGAGGTTACTCAATTTAATAAGGGTCAAGTAGTATTATTTGGAATTTAAAGTCTGGGCAATTCTACATATTTGTTCTTCAGTTTGGCGATTAGTATGCAGTATAAAGTGAAATTGTCACCAGCCAGCCACACAAGCGTAGCTGTTTAAAGCTGAATTTGAAGAGACACTTACTTTGGGTTCTTCTTCTTTCTCCTCCACTTCCTCTTCTTCCACATCTCCTTCTTCTTCATTTGTTGGACTTATCCAGTACCAAATCTCTTTGGGGCATTCAAGGCCCTTAGAAATAAAAATAAAAATTAAAAATAGCACGTCATACTTGACCAGGTTTCTTAGCAATTTCTCAACACAAAACAAAAGTACTTTGGCACACGTGAAAGAAACATAAATAAATTAAAATAAAGATTATAAGACCTATTGTATATTAATAACAAACTAAAAAAACTAAGCACAAGCCAACATAACAGGGATTCTTTGCAAGTGCAATATTTTAAATACACTAAAATGGTTAAAACATTCTCTGGAAAAATTCACACCATATCTACATTCTATTTAATTTCTGGACAATATCACAACTTTGTGAATAGCAACCTGCTATCTCCTTGTGGCTCCAGATCAGGCAGGGAAGAGTTGGAGATGTAAAAAGAATGAAGTGGTTTTTGCTTTGCTTTCAGTCTGCTGGTATGCTGTAACTGGCTTATGTGTGGCTGGACAGTGTTGTTGTCTAGTAGTAGCTTGGGTACACTTAGTCCCTACACTGCCAACACAAAGGTGGATGTCATTCTACTCACTCTGTATTGTTCAATCACAAATATACAAAACATTTTAAAACAATTTAAATTAAAACTTACCTTCTGTACATCTAATTGTTGACAGGCTTTTTGACTTTTCACAAGGTCCCGCTTTATTTGCCGTTGTTCCTGTTCTGTCTTCAGTCTCAATCTTTTAATTTAGAAAATCCAGTAAGAAAGGATATACTGTTCTTAGAATTAAAAGGAAAGATTGCAAAGGATCAAGGTAAGTGGGAACCAATGCACCATTGATGTGCAAGGCCTTTAAAGCTTCCCCTTCAATCCTCTGAAGAGACATCCTCAAAACCACCTGCCCCACCCCAGCATTGAGGAGGGTTACATGAAACTATGAGGATCCTTTTCACCAGGAATTTCTGACTCTATATAGAAATGGCAGCACTTTCTCCTAAAACATAATGTGGTGTTTATCATAATTACAGCTTATGCACAATTCTGTTCTCTATAGGTATTTCTAAAATATTTATTGAAGAATTAATGGTCTCTTTCAAGAAGGTAAGGTCAGTGCTGTAAGAATTCAGTTATAAACTACGTCAGCAAAGATCTTTCAGAAATCAAAGTCAGTGCAACTGAAGATTTTGCCTTTCATACACAGTAGATTGACTCAAAGCTTACAGCCTCTAAATTTATTAATTGTGCCTGTCTGTTCAGCTAGAGTATGTCATTCCATAGCAGAAATAGGAATAACCTGATCCTTCCAGATGCTTCAGATTACAACTTTCATAATCTTTTATCTGTACTCATACTGGCTGCGGCTGATGGGAGCTATAATCTGAAACATCAAGAGGGTATGACATTGCCTGCTTTGATACTGCCAACATGCTGCTCTCTACCAAGTCAGGCTGTGCAGCAGTTTGTGGGTTTCAGGCAAGAAAGTGGTTTAACTAGACATGTCAGAGTCACCATAGGATTTCCCACATGCAAAATATTATATTTATATGACTTGATCAAGTTATATCCTTATTATCTGTTAGGTATCATGATTCTGTTGAATATACCAGTCTTATCTATAGTTAAGAGGACGCATTAGAATGTGCAAATGAAGTCTCATATATTACTTGAAGAGATCAGCTGTCTGCTTTTCCATCTGGTTCTTCATATGCATTTTTCTTCTGTAGCTTTCCAGGTTTTCAGCAGCTTTCCGTTTTCTCACTTCTTCATGGCCAAGCCCACTTCTACCTGTTTCAGGTTCAGAGCACTAGCTTAATGTGCTGACATGACATCACATTTGAGCTAAACATATTTCAAAAATAATGTATTTTCCTCTAACCTGTGGTAATGTTCAGAGGAATGGGCTCGGTAATTCCTTTTCCTGCAGAAAATGAGAGCATTCACAGTTCTTAAAAACCACCCAAAACACGACAATCATGCTTACAAAGCACACTTGCATTGCCTTCCTCTAACGCGCTCAGAGAGACTTCTCTTGGAATTCTGCTATGTTAACCTCATAACAATTTTGTGAGGTAAATTAGACCAAGAAGTAGGGATGTTCTCAAGAACTGGATCTCTATGCTGAAGAGATTCCATAAATCTTCCTGGTTCAAGCATTCCACTGCATTGCTTCTGTCGCATGTTTCTTGTATGTCTCTCATTTCAATTCCCCACTGAAATGACATCTGTCAAACAGGTAATGGCCATGATCCAGGACACTTTGTAAACTGGTTAAGTGCTTTCAATCCGTGTGCTTTATAACAATGCTGTGTGGCTTCTTCAGGCCCTGTTATTCCTCCTAAGCAGAATGTACTGGTTTGATATCTAGGATATTGGAGTCTAGCCTGGCAATATAACTGCTTCCATTTGAAAACACTGAAGAGGGTGTGGCTTGCTGCTGTGGAAGTCGACAGCATAAGAGATGTGTTCTGCTCTAAGCCTTCTTATAATAAACTATCAAATGTGGGATCTGGCAAGTACATAAGTAATATTTGCAAATAAATATGAAAACAGGGAGGTCGAAGAAGATGGCCTGAGAAATTAGATCAGATGCCTCTTCAGAAGCAGATCAAAGTTGCACAATTGATTCCTTGGAGGACACTGGTAGTGAAATTGAGATGGGTAAGATGAAAGGGAGGGGATGAAAGAAAACCAAATTTGTTAGCAAGCTCAGCGAAAATATGAAACCGCTTTAAAAACAATTATGGAAAGACTTGCAAATAGACATGAAGGCAGCATTAGCCCTATTGAAGGAAGCAGTGACATAAATAGCTAACATTGGACAAACAGAGAAAACTACTTTTGAACTGGCTCATCATGAACAGACCATAGCTGATTTTATAGAAAAAGAATTGAGACTATTAAGAGATAGTCTCCTGGGCTCTGTACTCTCTCGGGACCTGAAATGGTCAATCAACATCGATGGCATCATTAAAAAAGCTCACCAGCGTCTGTATTTCCTACGACAACATTGAAGGAAGCAGTGACATAAATAGCTAACATTGGACAAACAGAGAAAACTACTTTTGAACTGGCTCATCATGAACAGACCATAGCTGATTTTATAGAAAAAGAACTGAGACTATTAAGAGATATGGCTGAAAATCAAGAAAATCGCATTCATTGTTAGAACATACAGTACAATATGTTTGAGGAATTTTAAAGATGGAAAAAGGAGGGAGAACTTGAGATATATAGTGCCAAAATGGATTCAAGATCTTTGCCCTGATTTAAGGATTATGGTGGAAGATTTGGAAATATTTCACAGAGTGGGTCCTAATTAAGAATCACATTGATGAGATACTGTTGTCAGGTTCATCCATTACACAATGTACATTATGCATTAAACAATGAAAAAGAGCCGTTATACAAAGGAGATGAGATTGAAACCTTCCAGGGCTTGGCTGCTGAAATGATTAAGAGGCACAGAAAATTGGAAGCAGTTTACTGAAGCACTCTGAAATTAAAGAATAACACCTATCTGGGGATTTCCCGTCAAACTGCTTGTATGGCTCAGACATAAAGCTAGGGTTATAACTACAACATAACAATTATAAGATTTCCTTAAAGAGACAAAGATTTAGATGTTTGTGACTGGAAAAAAGAGCTGAACAAGATCAAAATATTCAAGATACTGTAGATAGAACAGAACTATGATTGAAGAGAGTAGAAAGGGAAAAAAACTGTTAAAATGCAAAGACCCTGTCTGATTAATCCCAGAGTTTCTCAAGGCTGTTGTTGATGTTGATTGTCTTCTACCTCTGGAAGACAATAAACAACCTGGCTACAATTTCATGCGAGTTTGCTGGACCAACTGTAAGAAAAGAGAAAACTCTTCGAAGGACTATAAACTAAATCCCCATTTATATATATGAAAAACTACTCAAATGAAAAAGTAACTAGCTCCAATTAATTCAAATAAACATTTTGCAACTCAGTTGTATATTACCTCAGATCTTACTAGAGCTCTTAAACTTATTGTAAGGAAGACAATTTTAATTTAAAAAAGGATTAATCTCACTAATATATAAAAACATTGTTAATGAGGAATGTGGTAATTATATGGGAGTTAACACAGTTTGAGAAAGAAATCTAAATATTAATTCAATTCTTCTTCTTCAAAAAAACCCCTCTAGTTCATGAATGTGCAATGTTGTGCTTCTCTACCCATGATTCAAAAAGCCAGGATCTGGCCCAATTCTGCTGCACAATATCATGCTTGCATTGTTAGCAGGGAAATGCATGCAAGCTTTACATAGCAAAGGACATGCATAGAGATACTCACCACTCTTGCCAAGAGGTTGTCCACTTCTGTAGCCCATCTTCTGAAGCATAGCAAAGCCTTTATTTTCATTTCCCAGGGCAATGTTTAAAACAGTCTCACGCTGCTCTCTTTCCTGCTCTTTTAGACTTTTCTGCCGGCTCTTCTCATTGGCTTCCTTTTGTTTTTCCTCTTTCTTAAAGGTTTCCTTCACACGTCTTGGTAGTGGCATTCCTGGCCTAACATCCTGACTGAATGACAAATATATCAATAGATTACACAGTATGTAGAGCAGGATTTGGAAAAGTAAATTTTTGGACGACTACTTCGCAAGCCGTAGTCTACTTATGGCCTATGAGTGTGCAAATAAGAAGATTTTGGTCCTGAAAAAGCAACATTCCTATGCTGTGGTTTCAAGCAGAGGGCTCTGACCAAATATCATTATGCCGATTGTTTATTTAACATTTACTTTATACAGTTTTGAAACTTCTGTGTGGCACATTTGTTGATGATCATATTGTTAAGATGCCTATTTTGTGAATTGTTTTGAAATACTGTAATCTGGTAGTGTATAAGAATAAGTACAAAGAGAATAAAAACACATATATTAATTTGGTCAGATTTGGACAGTCAGCCAAAACTTCATATGAGGATCTGCTGGAAGGTTTTCCTGTTTGATTATATCACCCAAATGACAGATGGCTTAGATGCTGGTGTGCTGTTGCACGTGCATGCCATCTGAACCATACAAGTCAATACTGCATGTTCATTACAGCAACTACAGAAGGTGTGTCAATGGCTAAAATCCTGTTGCTTAACATAGTAAATCATACTAGAGTAGGCTCCTTGGTTCAATGGGGATTTAGTAAGTCAATTCCTCTATAATTTCCATTAATTTCATGGGCATATTCTGGTGCCATTTACTATGCAACAGGAATGTGGCTAGTCTGTGTCATTATCGAGGCAAGAGATAGAGACAGAGCCCTAGCTGACAAAATAATGAAACTAGTTTTATGCTGGAACAAAAGTATTGCTGGGGAGATTATACTGGAAAAAGAGAGAGGCAGTTCTGAAGCTTCATTCGCTTGCTTAGGTTTTTAAGTGTCTCAATTCGTTATCAAGTTGAGTCAATAGACAAAGTTTTCAGTCAACATTCACAAATCATGATTTATTAAGCTATGAATGAATGCCATATCAGTGTGTTCCTCCCTTTCCGGCATACCAGGTTCTGCACAAAGATTTTAATTTGTATGATACAAGAGTTCTTTCCTAGTTAGGTCCAGACTTGGAATTCTGGCTTAATACAAGGTAAGAGCATGCTGAATTGAGCATGCAAGGATGTAAGAGGAAGGAAACAGTCACAACACTTATTTACAGTTTACAGATCTTTGGATCATCATTCCCATGGTCGCCAGTGGATAATCTACTCAATAGTTATCATTAATAAAGGAAAGTCCTTTTCATTTGCAAATTCAATGTTTCTGAAGAATGATGCAACCAAATCCAGTTACTGAAAAGTCAAACTGAAATTACTTATATACGTTATCAGAGCAGAAAACAGAATTACACAGGAAAATGTAAACCTGCCTTCCAAAAGAAAGAACTGGCGGAAAAGCTGTGGTGGGCAGAGGATAGGATGAGAAAATAGGCAAAATAATTAGTTTATGCAGGGATAAGGTAATAAGGCTAATTGATAACAGATATGTGCTTGTGTTATATTATGATTATGCAAAACCAGACCTGAGATCATCATCATTTTCCCCACAGCTGTTTTAGAAATATATCAGTATACTCTAGGAAAGTAAAATACTTGGCAAGATATTTCATCATTTCCAATAATGGAACCCTAGATCCATTTTGTCTACAGTTAGTTTATTTATTAGCTTGAAATACATATTATGATGAAGTTAAAAAACCCTACTTACTTAATGTTAATAAACGAATCAGACATGTAGTCCTCTTCTGCATCATCCATGCTTTGTAACAATATTCAGCTGCAACCTTTTTGCCTATGAATAATATTTTGAGACCTTTTAGAAGCCACCTATTACTTTCTCTGACCTTTCAATTCTTAGAAATTTTGATTTTAGCCCATCTCCTCAAAATAAAGCTGGGTTAGGACTGCAGTTTTATTATAGACCCTGAACGATATCCTGAAATCAGTCCTTGTTAGAGGACCTTCTGATGTTCCCAGTTCCTTCAGTTGCTCAACATTCTCTTTAATAGCATGCCAGTCCAGCTGCCCATCTCCAGCTGAGCATAAGGGAATTGTTTCAGTCAACAAGCATCTGTGGGCATTTGTTCATTGCTAACTAGGGCCTTCTAATGTACTTGTTTGGGAGCTTCTGCAGATAAACTCATTATTATTTCTGAAAAATAGCTGCATTAATCCATGTGCAGCACAAATGCAGCCATTTAGGTGCATGGACACATGCAGATGCATACACATACACACATACATATTACATATCGTTGTAAGGATAATACCATATTTTTCCATGTATAAGACTTTTCTAATCCAAAATTAAGAAATCTAAGTGGGGCTTAGCAACTGTAGGGAAAAAGGGATAAAAGCGCTGCAGAATTGCTTTGAACCCTGCTTTCCCCTCCACTTGTTTTTGTTTTCTCCTCAGCTTACTTCTGTGTACAAGATGACCCTCAATTTTTAGTCTAAAGATTTTAGACAAAAGTACTGTATAGTCTTATACACAGAAAAAGGTACTTCATGTATCCACTGAAGTGACAGTTTTACACCTAAGGAGTGTGACTTCTTAGGAGACTGCAATCTAGTGTCATGGAGCTTGTGTCTTTGCCTATATTCAATGCGAAATAAATCCCACGGAATTTGTCAGGGTTTATTCCCTCCAAAGTACAGTATGCACACTCTTGACATCGGGGCCTTCCTAGTTTCTCTAAGTAAACACGATGTCTCTCATAATCATTCCACTGTCATGATAATAATAATAATAATAATAATAATAATATGCTATCAAGTCAATTCTGACTTATGGGTAGCTCTTCCAGGGACTTCTAGGTACAGTATAGGATCCTCAATAGCGGTTTGCCATTCCCTTCTTATGGGGGCGCCCCGGGACCGTCCAGCTTGCCCAAGGCTACGCAGGCTGGCTCTTCTTTCTCCTACAACCCCCCGATCCCTGATTCTCTGAACTTCAGGAACGCCCTTCTGGATCCAACTAAAATTATAACTGGTAGCCCACCCTTTCATTTCGCACTTCGGCCATCTAGATGGGAAGCGCCCAAGGAACACGAGGGCCATGAAGACCCTTCTTGCTCTTGTTCCCAAATGACCGTCATTCGGAAGCGTGTTTGCCCCTAATCCTGGAGTCGCCATAACTGCCATCTTAATCTAATTTGCTGCCCATCCCTCACTATCAATGCTCTACCAATACGTCCCGAGGCTCTTGTGTTGTTGGCCTCCTTCTTCCGGCAGCATAGACTCAACTCTCGCTCTCCGGCCCCTCCGCGGCTGCGCTATCGCGCATGCGTATTTTCTGTCCACTCGCTTCCTGGGTCTCGAGTGCGCTTGCGCCGGTGCTTCCTGAGGTGGGCGGCGGATGGGCGGGCTGTCGGTGCGCCATGGAGACGTCAGGTGTTTGCCTTTCGTCGTCAGGCGCTCCCGCTCCCTGCGCTTGTGTGAACTGCCGGAGGAGGTAAGGCTCTGGGATAGAGGCCTTTAGAGGGTCAATATGTGGGGGAAGCAAAAGGGTGTGTGTGTGTGTGTGTGGCATAAGTGGGTAACCGTGAGAGACAGCGAACAACGGCAGCTTCTACGGATGGGAAGAGGGGTCACGTTAGAGCGGAGGGAGGCTTCGGTTTCCGGCGGGAGGGGGGGCGGCTGGTCTTTGAGGCGTCGGGGCGGTGAGTTTGGACGTACAACGCCTCAGGTGTGGGGTCTTTCTAGGGCCGCTGGGTCACGATCCTTTTCAAGGGTCTGAAACTTGGACTTAGTATATACGGAGCATATGCTGTACTACTGAGCGCGGGGGGAAGGTGTTGTTGCTGGGAGGGGTGAGTGGCGATTTGGCCAGATCAGGGATGCGCTTGCCATCTGCTCCTGTTCTCCACTCTAGTACAGGCTTTCCTAGCCTTCAGCCCTACAGATGTTGTAAGACTCGAACACCCATCACCCCCCCCCCCCAGCCTGGCCTGCGGTAAGAGATTGTGGGAGTTGGTCCCAGGCTGGGGAAGGCTGCATTATTTAGCAAGAGACCTGGGTTTCCTCCTCACTATGCAATCAGAAATTACCAAACAGCCACAGTGCTCCGTTATCGTGTCTCTGATCCCAGTGTTACCATGGATAATGTTATTTAATTAATGTTGCATTGGTAGCCCATCCAGCCTGAGGTCCACTATTTGTAACCATGTCATACAACTACATGTCAGCCAAAGATTGTGGCAGCTTGAAGACTAATATGTTTGTTGCAGTGTGAGCTTTTGTGCATGGAGATTCACCTCAGACCCAAAGCTCACATGGAAATATCTGTTAGTCTTTAAGGTTATACAATATTTTTCCTTTCCTCTTTCTTTTCTTCTTCTCTTCTTTTTTTCTTCTTCTTTTGCCAACATGTCAACAAATGTGGACCTATCAATCCTCTCAGTAGAGATGTGTGATCCATTATTAGTTTTCATTTTAGTCAGATAGGAAGAATATAAAGGCACTTTGTACACACCCAGAGGAACAATCTTTTATGTACCACTTCATACCTTTCAGTGACCCCATTAAATAATTACATCAAAATGTTTGTCATTTATAGCCTTCTTTAGTTCTTGCTGTATCTTCCTTTATTGAATAAATCTTTCTTGTGTTCAATCTTTTTTACCCATTGTCCTCCACTTTTCTTAGCTTTACTATCTTTTCAAATGAGTCCTGTCTTTTCATGATATGTTGTAAGCACAATAGCTTAAATTTAGACATTTTCACTTCTAGTGAAGGTTTAGGCTTGTTTTGCTTTATAACCTGCTTGCTTGTTGACAGTCTATGGAATTTATTAAACTTTCCTCCAACACCCCATTTTGAATGAATCTTTTTTTTTTCTTACCAGCTTCTTTCATTGTGTAGCTTTAACGCCTATAGATAATGACTGGGAATATCATAGTATGGTCTCTTTTCCTAGTTCCTTTGTAGCTGCCCTTCCAAATCTCAGAGAGTCTTGGAATGAACGGAGGCATAGAAAACCTTCTGAACCATGTTTATTAAAATGTAATTCTTCTGAACTTATGGTTCTTTTTTCATATTCAACTGTAATCTTGCTTTTGCACTATATTCTTTACCTACACCAAAAATTGTTTCAAGTTACTGCTGACTTCTACCAGTAATTATTGATGTTTCTCCAATTTTAACTCCTACTTCATCTGAATGTAATCCAGTTTTTCATATGATGTGTTTTGCATGTAGCCTGCACATATACTCTGGTCTGTCACCTTTGCCTGTTGGAAATCATTTTCATTCTCCACATTGTCTTCCAACAGTAGCCTCTTGTCCAAAGTACAGGTGACGCAGGACAAACAAATGTTATGGTGCACTTGCTTCTTTGTAATGGCCATATTGGTTCCCCACTTGGGTTTTTTTCTTTTTTTCTTTAGTATGAGGAAGAAAAGCTGGAGCCAGTGTACGCACTTGGGGTATGTGGGTTTATGCCCTTATGGCAGCAGTTTTTTGTAGCTTCTTTTTTTAGCTTCCTGACCATAGCCCTAGTTGCCCTATCCCAGTTACAGCTGTACTCAGTAGCTTTCCATGATTCACTCAGTCAAAATCTTTACAGTTATCTGATTTTCTTCTGAAATTCTTCAGTATGTTCCTGTAGCCAATGTTTGTTTGCAATGTGTGTCTATGTATGTGTGTAATTAGTTAAGGAAAATATGTATTTGAGATTTCCAAAAAAATTTAATAATGGCTTTTCCCTTGCCACCTTTTTCATGTCGTGATGCATGTTCCCCATTAACATTTTCATGGATTAACATTCTAATGGGTTCTTTTTCTTCTAGGCATTAAATTATTCATATGATTGATAACCATGGAGTCATAGAATAACTGAGTTGGAAGGAACCCATAAGGCCATCGAATCCAACCTCCTGCTCAGTGCAGGAATCCAAATCAAATCAGATCTGACAAATGGTTTGATTTAGATTCCTGCACTAAGCAGGAGGTTTGATTTGGATTCCACTACCTCCCAGGGCAATTGGTTCCATTGTCGTACTGCCGTAACAGTTAAGAAATTTTTCCTGATATTCAGCCTAAATCTGGCTTCCTGTAACTTGAGTCTATTCTTATGTGTCTTGCGTTCTGAGGCAATTAAGAACAGATCCTGCCCTTCCTTTGTGTGACTGCCTTTCAAATATTTGAAAAGTGCTATTGTATCTCCCTTCAGTCTTCTTTTCTCAAGGCTAAACATGCCCAGTTTTCAGTTTTTCTTCATTGGGCTTCGTTTCCAGTCCCCTGATCATCCTTGTTGCCCTTCTCTTAACTTTTTCCAGTTTGTCAGCATCCTTCTTGAATTGCGGTGTCCAGAACTGGACACTGTACTCTAGATGAGGCCTATCCAGCACCAAATTGAGAGAAGAACTAGTACTTCATGGGATTTGAAGACTATACTTGTGTCAATGCAGCTTAAAATAGCATTTTCCTCTTTTTTTTGCAGCCACACCACACAGTTCGCTCATATTCAGCTAATGATCTACAATCCAAGATCCTTCTTGTTCATAGTATTACTTGCAGCCACAACACACAGTTCGCTCATATTCAGCTTATGATCTACAATTCCAAGATCCTTCTTGTTCATAGTATTACTCAGCCAAGCATCCCCCATCTTGTAATTGTACATTTGGTTCCTCCCCCAGGTGTGGATCTTTGCACTTATCCCTGTTAAATTTCATTCTGTTGTTTTCAGCCCAGTGCTCCAGTCTGTCAAGGTATTTTTGAATATTGTTCCTGTCATCAAAGTCTGTCAAGATATTTTTGAATATTGTTCCTGTCATCAAAGGTATTAGCTTTTCCACCCAATTTGTGCCATCTGCAAATCTGATATGTATTCCCTGCATTCTCTCATCCAAGCCATTAATAAAAATGTTGAAGAGCACTGGGCCCAGGACTGAGTGCTGTAGTACCCTATTTGTTGTCTCCTTCCAGTTTGAGAGGGAGCCGTTAATAAGCACTCTCTGAGTATGATTCTGTTACCACCTGTGTATCCACCTGAAAGTTCGATCCAGCCCCCACCTGGTTAGCTTGCTAATCAGAATATAATGGTTAACTTGCTAATCAGAATATAATGCGGCATTTTCTGAAGTCAAGATACATTATATTTACAGCATTCCCACTGTCTACCCGGGAAGTTACTTGATCAAAAAATGAGATAAATTTAATCTGTCAGGATTTGTTCTTGACAAATCCATGTTTGTTTCTATTTATTACTGCATTGTTTTCAAGGTTTATGCAGAGTGACAACTTTGTGATCTGCTCCAGAATTCTCCCTGGAATTGATGTCAATCTGACTGGCCTGTAGTTCCCAGGTTCTTCCTTTTTGCTTGTTTTATAGATAGGGACAACTTTAGCCCTCCACCAATCATCTGGCAACTTACCTATCTTCCATGATTTCTAGAAAATTACAGACAGTGGTTCTGAGATCTCTTCAGCTAGTTCCTTCAATATCCTTGGATGCAGTTTATCTATTCCTGGGGATTTAAACTCATTCAAAGTAATAAGTTATTCCTTATTTGTTTCTCAATATCACGCTGCAATCATATCCCTTTGCCTACGTACTTCACATTTGTCTGGACGGTCATAGTCTGTCTTTTGTTAAAAAACAGAGCTAAAATAGGAATTGAGCACTTCTGCCTTTTATTGACCAAATTAAAACCAATACATTGAAGACATTCAGTCTGCCTGGTTAGAATTGCATTTAGTGTTACAGATCATGTCCATAACATGGGATTGCCTAGTAGATCCTGTCCAGTTAATTTGGAGTCCTAAGTAGAATCTGTTATATGAAAGAACCACCTACTTAGACTGTTAGTGCTTGTTACAATCCCTTCTGCACAGAGCTAGTTTTGGCATAGGTCTTTAATACCTAAGAAGATGCATATTTGATTATTGCAATGCATTGTATATGGGTTTATGTTGAAAACTGCATTTGATTCAAAATTTGGCACCAGGCTGAAGGTGGCACGTGACTTCTGAATATGAAAAGTTTTTCACTAGCTGCCAGCGTATTCCTTGACTCAGTTCAAGATTTTGACATTTTCCTGTACAATCCTGAAATTGTTTTTATAATAAGTTACTGATAATTAAAAATTAAATTTTACAGTGCTGGATAGCTTGGTGGTTTAGGTCTCTGGCTGCAGAGCCTGTTAGTAGGGCGAGCCTGTGTAGTCATAGGCAAGCGGCACAGCCCCAGGGCACCTGCAGAAGAAGGGAATGTTAGCCACTTCTCAGTATTCTCTATTTGGAAAACTCTGAAAAGGGTCACTTATAAGTAGCCACTTCTCAGTACTCTCTATCTGGAAAACTCTGAAAAGGGTCACTTATAAGTCAGAATTTACTTGGTGGCATATTGTTATTACTACTTTTTTCTTAACTATTTTCATGAATTATGACAAATTTCAGAAGTAAACTTAGTTGTATTTATTTGATTTCAACTGAATTGAGCCTTATTTTATATTAAAGATATTTATAGTTTCTGTACAGTCAGTTTATTTGAGGGCTTCTTATGTATGCATTTACTTTTGTAACTCAGTACGTGTTTCCAGAACTTTCTTTATTCAATTTGTAGGTTAGGTAAAGGTTAATTTGTTTTCATGTAAAATGGTCCTTCATTTTCTATCCGTTTCAGTAAAACGGTCCTTCATTTTCTATCCTGCTATTGCCTGTAATGTTTTGAATGGTTGATTATATAATTTTGCTTTTTTTTTGTTTAGATACTCTATTCATCTTTGAGGTTTTTAAATTCCATTATATTATTATTAATTTTGTTTTATTCTTGTATATTAAACTGATGAGTAATTATTTTGGTGTTTATGCTGAATAACATAAATAATTTCACCTAAAGTTGGTAACTGGATTTTAGTTACAGAAGTTGGAGATAGAGTAAAGATTAGCCAAGTAAATGAAATAAAATATAGAGCAGAGGTCTTCAACCCCCAGTCTGTGGGCCGGCGCTGGTCTGTGGCCTGAGCCGGAGTGGGCCACCAAGACAGACATCCCACCCCACTCCTCGCATGCATTCACCCCTGTACAGCCTGTTTGCGCCTGCATGCGTGCTCCAGCATGCCTGTGCGAGTGCCGTGCCACTGTTTGCCCATGCGCACAAGCGTGCGCGCACCTAGACAAGTGCCATGCTGCCATTTGCCCATACGCACAAGTGCACATGCTTGTTTGTGCTTGCGCATGAGCACAGGGGGGCTCCCGCCTTCCCCAGCCGGTCCACGGACCAAAAAAGGTTGGGGACCGCTAATACACAGGGAGTTGAAATCACAAATTCCATGTACGGCATACTTTTGTCAGACTACAGTGTAGCCCACATTGATAGTTCTCATCAGACTCCCCTGAAAAACCTTTACAGAAATTCTATTCCCTTGAAAAGTGGTCTTAATACCCTTTTCCAAGATAATGGCTTCTTTGAAGTAATATCTCACAGCCAAGTTGTTTAATCACACAGATAAATTACCTTCTCCGTGGTCACACATTATTCTGATGCTTTTTGGTTTCCTTCTATTTTGCTTTTTCTTTTGTTATGTCTGTTTTTTAAGATTGTAAGCCTTTTGAGGTTTGCCGTGCTAACAATAACACAGCTAGTTCTATAAAAATAAACAATAATAAAGCAGTATGGAAATTCCATATTAAATGAAGTCTTGTTCAGACACTGCCAGAGGGAGAAAGAAAGAAAAATATTAAAAACTATTGTTCTGTGGTATGTGTTTCTATTTATATAAATAGGAAATAAGTGCACCTATAACAGCAAAATTTAACCAGCTATGGAGTTAGCTCACAGTTTGTTATTAAACGAAGAGGCTTTGGCCCAAATCACAGAAGCAAAACGTCCAGTTTTCATCTTCGAATGGCTGCGGTTTCTTGACAAAGTCCTAGTAGCTGCTAACAAGGTAGATTACTCACACCTCTTTATATTTATGTTTTTTTCTCCAGTAATATTAACACTCCTTGGAGCATTCCCCAAAACCAAAAATATTTGGTTTAAACTTTGTTGTTAGTGTGTGACAATTAAAATACATGTAGCTGCACAGGAGTAAGACCTTTTGAATTCAGTGGAGCTTCTATCTGCATAAGTGAATATAGGATTGTCTTCTCACTTTTCTCCTTTATGGGAAGATATGATTAATATGAAACTGAGTACTGTTCACTAAAAGGATTGTTGTTTTCTTCATTTTTTTTCATCTGGTATAACTTAAAGTTGAAATCTTAGTGTATCAGGAGCTGAAAATTTGTTTCCAATTGAATTTAACTTTTGTGGAAATGTCAGGAGACAGTTGAGGAGGTAGACCAGTGGACAAAGTCTGTATTGGCTTTGTTTAATGAACTGTTATATTTCGTGGTGCCATAACATGTTAATTAAAAAAACAATATAACTCTTGAGAGTTTCATATATTCATTTATAAATGTTACGTAATTGTTTATAAATTAAGATGTGTTCAGAACAAATGCATTTTGGATTGTTTTTAAACAGATAGATGTAAAAGAAAAGCAAAAAAAGCTTGTTGAACAGCTGACTGGACTTATTAACAGTTCTCCTGGACCACCCACCCGAAAATTACTTGCTAAAAATCTTGCAGCTCTGTACAGCATTGGAGACACATTTACTGTATTTCAGACTCTGGATAAGTGCAATGATATTATCAAAAGTAAAGATGATACTTCTGCCTATCTACCAACCAAGCTGTAAGTAATTGGTTACACTTACAATGTGGATTGTTACAAATAAGCAAATATTGTCATGGTTAACTCATTAATTTCCAGTAGCATAGATCCATGGTGAAGTAGTAGTACAGTAGTTGACCAAGCAGGAGTGATTGTCCCTTGGAGATTTATGCTGTGTATTGGATTGCATAATCCTTCAGAGGATGTACTCAATTTTAAATGAAGTGACCATGATATCAGTTTCATATTGTTTTTCTCACAAGAATGGATCACTAACAGTGACACATTTAAACAGTCAACAGTGAACAAATAAAAATAACAGGTGGCCAGTAATGTTTAAAGGGGCATGTGCTCTAGCATACAGCAGCAGTTCTTAACCTTTTCTTTACCACAGATTCCCTTTAAATATCTTTTGTTGCTGTGGACCACCAAGACTCAAGATTTGAAACCCTAAAGTGCCTCAAATATTTATTTAAAGTTTCTCATGAAGGATCTTCAGATTTGGAGAGGAGGGAGAAATAAGTTAATTTGTTAAGTAACACACTCCTGTTATAATAATTTTATTGGAATGATTCCATAGAAATTTATATTTTCTTTTCTTTCTTGTTTTCATTCATTCTATTTTGACTTCAAGAGATCATAACATACAATATTATCTCTGTTCTGAAGGAGGTTCATTGAAAGGAATGAGACATTCCCAAGGAAGGGTCCATCTTACAGTTTAATTAGTGCTAAAGCACTATTAGCCATATGTACTTGAGAAAAGAAAATGAAACAGTAATTGAAAACCTATTGTGTTTTAGCCCTATTGGACCAGCAGACTCTGTTTTGCTCAGTTGTTCCAATTTGAGTTTGAGGAAACAGAGAAGGGCACAGAGGGAATTGGACATTTCTTAACACCTCTATCTGTCACTTTCCTTCATTAACTGAGTTAAAAGTTTGCATGGCACATAGAAAGAGAGATAGATGGTGATATGGGAGACTGATTTCTGTTTCTGCGCATCTCCTGCTTTGACTGTATACTCATACTGGCCAGGATGAGAGCCTTCTGTTTCTGTGCATCTCCTGCTTTGACTGCTTATATATGTGTCTGTATACTCATACTGGCCAGGATGAGAGCAAATAGGACTTTACTCAGTATAGCAAGATTATTCTATATGTACTGTCCTCACTAAACTAGAATTAGTTTGCCCAAATGAATTACAACAAAGCATATTCAGAGAATTGTAGGTTGTTTGCAATAAATTCCACACCATCTAGATTTAGTGAGCTTCTGAAGTGCAGAGTTGCAAAAGACTAGATTTGAATTCAGTATTTCCTACAACCTTAAATACTGTTAAAATATGTGAAACTACCTTTGCTAAGCAAGTTAGACATATTTTGAGAAATGTGAATAGAAAAGATATTGGAATCATAAGAACTGAAAGATGTTATGAAATGTATCATTTGTTTTACTGTACTTGTCCCTTATTGCTTATCCTTCTGATCAATTTCTTGCATTTTTAAAATTTTTCTGTAGCCAAATTCTGAACTAAGATTCTGTGCATTTTTGCAAAGGCTGAAATGCCCACCCTTAACAGAGGATAATTAGTCGGTGATCTGATGCTCCCTTTTACTTGTGTGTTAGTCAGTTAAAAATTACTAGAGATCATCTTCTCTTTTTGCAGTACTGCAGTGGCATGTGTCGGAGCCTTTTATGAAAAAATGGGGAGAATGCTGGGTAGTTCTTTTCCAGAAACAGTTAACAATTTGTTAAAATCTTTGAAAAGTGCTGAGGTGAGTTAAAGCAATGTTTTAAAAAAATTATTCTTCCTTTTTTACTGTCCTTCTGTGTGTAGTTACCAAAGATGGCTCGGGGTACAGAAAACTAAAGACACAAGCTAAAAACATTGTAGCTTGTGGCCAGTACGGGGCTTGTCATTCATACATCTGCTCAATCCATTTCTTTTGCCATTATTTGAAATTGTGTTTCATGAAAAACCTTGATGGATGGAAATACATATGGCACTATATTCTGACACATCTTTGTAGCTTCCTGAGTAGTAAAGTATTGCCTCTTCACTTAGACCCAGTTCACACGCTGGACTTTCCACATATTGCTGGGCTAGTAGTTCAGCTCACAGCTGAGTGGCCCTGTGTTGTTGTGTTTTTTTCCTGGATTGTTTTTCTAGTTTTGTAAACTCTATAATCCCCTGAGTATGTAGATAAACTTCCCTTGTTTCTGCGCAGCTCTGTTTTGTCTGCATAGCCATTGTAACATGCCACCTGAGCTTGATGTTAGTACATATCGTTTGCTGACACCTTGATTTTTAGTTACATGACAACCTTTTTTGCTGCCATTCTAACACACACAGTACTATTCTTATTCCTTCTTTTTAATGCTTATTTTTAAAGAAGTCTATTGTTATCTAAGTGCCATTGCTAATATTAAAACTTTAATCATGTAAACATACTGTTTTCTTTATGTTACTATCCATTGTATAGATGAGTTACAAAACTATAGAACTATATTATTTACAGTTTCATCACTATATTCTCTTTCTCTTCCTCATTTTAAAATCACACTGAAATTTATAGTCACAGGGCCGGAGTGAAATATTAATGAGCTTACAGAAAGTCTTAAGTGGGCTGGGCGGTGCAGCAGCTTCTTGCCATCGCGATATTTATAAGAATGCACGGTCTCTGCTTACGGACAGAGCTATGGCTGTACGATGTGCAGTAGCTAAGGTAGGTTTCTTTTCTTTTGCATAGTATAGAAACTTCTTTTGCTGTTGTTCATTACATCTTTCACAGGTCTTTTTGGGGCATGCATTATTGATGCACAGGGTCACCACTGCTGTGCTTGTTGCTTCAACCACTGCTGGATAATGCTAAAGATTTCCTGTGGAAGATATAATGTGGTATGATGCTTAGCTTTTCTTTATGGTATCCTGAAAAGTCTTGGGCATCCACAAAGCAATAATCATGTTGGCAATCTTTATTTTTAATATTACACATTAAGCTCAGGATGCAAATCCAGCAATAGTTAATAGTATTTTATAACGGCATTCTGGAGGTGAAGAGGATGGGAAATCTCTCTCTTACTGAACGCAAAATGCCATTGGAACAACAATATAGCTTTAATGAAATTTCAGTTTTCTTTAGGGAAGAAGATAAGCCAACACTTAATTTTGTTGTAGTGCATGATCTAGTCATATTAGTGAGAGATATACATTTTTAAGATAGGGTGTAACGGGGAAGGAACCAACACTCTGCTACACAGTACTTTATTAAAAGATCCTGTTTGGCAACAACCTTGCATTATTCATACTATAATCTAGATTTGATAAGAATCAGTGTTTGTAGCATTGTTTGCAGCAGCATGTATTCAGCAATCTTTCCTGAAAGTGTAAAGAAAAATTATAGCATACATTTTCTGAAAGTTTTAAAATGACATTGCTGGCTGTATCTGAAGCCGAGTAGTATAAAATGACAGAGGTGATTGTACTGCCTCCATCATGTGCCTCTGTGGATGAACATTCTTGAAGTATTAACAATCCTTGGCTTTTTTTTCTTTTTAAGTGCTTACTGGAACTGCAAAATGAAGCTGTGTTTATGTGGACAGCAGAATTAGAAAATGTAGCAACTCTTTGTTTTAAGGCTCTAGAAAATTCAAACTACGGTGTACGAGTTGAAGTATCTAAGCTTTTGGGGACAGTTATGGCTACAGCATTGATGCCAAAGCAAGCAGCAGGTATTGAAGTCTACTAAATTGTGTGTACAGTTATAATTCTGTGCCTTAATTTCACAACAGTGTACTTTAATGTAAGGTGAAGATATTTTTACACTTGTAGATTGTGCACTTGGTTGTTTTTTTCAGTGAGCCCAAACTAAATTAGTTCTTTACAAAGGTGAAACTCAGTCTAGTCAGTGGGAGTAGCCTCCATGAAAAGAGACAGAATCCTTCTGTTGATGAACATTTTGGTTATTCTGAAGGGTTTGCATTTGTAGTATTTCACAGTTGATAGGTCTCTTACAAGAATGGGCAATCTTGATGGGTTTGGGGGCTGAATTTGTAGTTCAAGTCACTTTTTGTGGGCTGTGGAAAATCTGGAAATGACCATTTACAGCTATGTGATGTATGTGTGGAGAAATAAACAGAAGTCTCTGTATGGGTATTTCCAGTTTTGTTTGTGCACTTATCCACTTATCTGTGGAGGCTTAGGTTTCTGTTGTAAGCACTGTTGTTCTTGGAGAACTCCAGGGGCAGAAATTGTTCAGTTCTTGGTCAAAAGGGTTTTTTTGTGGGTTTTTTTTTTGTAGGGAGGGCTTTTGGGAATCTTGGCCAGCAAAAATGACCTGGAGGGCCACAAGCAGCTCATATCTGCATTTGCCCATGCCAGCTCTACTAAGTAGTGATCACCCTTTTTACTGAAAAGACATTTTGCTTTTCACAATGTCAGTTCAAACAATAATTCTTAAACATACTTTATTAATTAAATTATTCTTTTTTCCGTGAAGTGATGCGCCAGAATGTGAAGCGAGCTACATTGGAAGAGGTCTTAGAACTCATGGCCACTGGCTTTCTGCGGGGAGGATCAGGATTCTTAAAAAGTGGCGGTGAAATGTTAAAAGTAGGAGGATCTGTCAATAGAGAAGTGCGAGTTGGAGTTACTCAGGTATGTTTACCTTATAAAGTTTGACTCTTCAACCATTTCCAAGCAAGATTTGCTTGCTTTTATCTCTGCCTTGCAAAGAAGTGTTCAAATCACGGTTGCTTCATATATTTCTAGTAACCAATTCCTTTGTGACATTTATGTCTGTTGATGAAACATGCCATAAATGCAATATTTCCTCTGATCAGAATCCTGTTGGTATTTGCATAATTTGCTGCAGCTAACTGCCAAGGTGCTGCTTTGTGGCTTATTTGTACACCTGGCCACAGACATGATTGCACAACTGAGATGGATCCCAAAACATTGTCAATTAGCTATAATTATGTCTGGCAAGTTTTGCAAACTTCATGTGAATCCAGTAGGATTTCAGTCAATATTTTTCAATGTTTCCATTAAAATTCTGGCTAAATATGTATAGAAAGGGATCCAGATAATTGTAATCTGCTCAAGGCTGCAGTGATTGTATTCCTTGTGTTGTAGCTCTCTGTTCTGATTGACAGGCTTCTTTTGAAATGGGAAAGAAATTCCTATTTGGTATGCTCAAATTATTGGTGAGTCTGAACATAGCTTTTTAGTGCCAGCTGTAATGAAGTGTACAAAGAAATAGGTAAAGAATACAAATAAACAAGACATACTAGGAAATGTTACACAATCCTTTTTTTAAAAATAGAGTAAATTGTCCAGTTTTTGTACTTGTAATTTGTGGATTTTAAATTTTCAGGCCTACGTTGTCTTCGTCACAACACTGGGCGGTCAATGGCTGGAACGGAATTTTGCCACTTTCTTGTCCCATGTTCTGGATCTGGTTTCCCATCCCCGTGCAACTCAGACTCATGTAGAAGCTGTGTACTCTCGAAGATGTGTCTCATTTATTCTTAGAGCAACTGTAGGAAGTTTATTGGGGGAGAAGGCACAGATAGCTGCTGCCAAAGATATCTGCCAGGCTATTGGTAAACAGATGAAAACAGTAGGTAAGAAGCAGAAGTTGAGTGAATCAATTATACTGATGTGCTAATGATCAAATATGGTGGTTTGTTACTGAAATCATCGTGTGAATGGGTATTTATGTTCAGCAACAAATCATTTGGTGGCTGTAAATGTCCGAAGGATAAAGGGCTTGTATAAATACAAACATGTTGGTTGATACATGTGTTGCTCACAATATGAAAAGGTATTAATCAAGAAGTGAAACAGAATGGAAATATTCATAATCTCAGCTACTTTACACCTTATAGAAATGATACAAGGTTCACATAGATGTGTGTAAGTTTTTGTCTGTGTTCTTGTAATACTTTCATGTGTTCTGCTTTTGGGCTAATCAAAGGATAAGATTTGTTTGGGAACGTGCCACTTTCTGTTCTCTGAATAATACTTTGGATCTAAAGCTGCAATTCCTGCCCTTTTGATGCATTCAGTTTGCAAGCAACATGGCTAAGGTATACAGGTTGGGAGAGATAGAAAGAAAAGAAACAAAGAAGAAACTGCTCGGTTGTTTAAGTATATGTCTGTGGAGCCAGAAGTTGGGAGTTCCATTGCCCATTGTGTCTCCTTAAGAGGAACTGGACTTGATGATTCATAGAGTTTCTTACAGCTCTGCAGTTCTAAGATCAAAAGGACTAGAATATTTTTTGTGAATCAGTATATTTTCTAGGTAGGGGGTAGGTTATGAACATAATTATATGTAGAAAATTGATTGTCAGTACAGCATTGGATTATTCCAACATCAGATGTTTGTTTGACCCAATTATATTGTAATTCTTTATATTAATGTGTTGAGGGCACAAAAATTTAATGGCTTGTTTTGCTAACCACTAATCTATAAACTATTCACATACATGGAATTTCAACTGTGGAAGTTTCCACAGCAATCTGACAAGGTATTGATTGTGTTCGTGGTTAAACAGGTCTGACATTTACTCACAACAACTTTTGCAGTGGGAGCTCCATGTGTGCATAAATATCGCACAAGATAAAAATCTCCATCTCAGTTATTCAGACTGCTAGACCTTAATCAGCAAGAACCCTTAGGTTTTCAATGGAGAGAAAAAAAATTAAAATAAAGGTCTATGTGAATATATTTTTTCCTAATTTTGTGATTAAATAAATACAATTTTTATTTGAATTGTGATTTAAATTGTGATTTAAATCAGTTTGATTTCAATCAAATTAAATGTAAATTATGAGGGGATAGGAGATTTTAATATAGATTGTAACTTTAATATAGATTTTAGTAGGTGTTAATATAGATTGTTAGGAAGATATGTTAATTCATACTAAACTATCTCTCTTCCATGGGGACAGCAAAAGCAATAAAATATCTTAATAGTGTTTTAAAATGAAGGTCTACAGCATAGCAAAAACTAACAAACATGGTGTGCTGCTTATATACAGCCCCATAGTGTTTTAAAAGCTGTCTTTGAATGGCTTACAATTTTTAAATTATGCAGGCTACACTTTGGCCCCGCCCCCAGCGAGCTTGGTACTCAATTTACCGACCCTGGATGGAAGGTTGAGTCAGCCTTCAGTCAGCTACCTTAGCTTAGGATTGAACTCAGGTCCTTAGCAATTTTTGCTGCAGTACAGGAGTTTAATTAAATACTGTGCTACAAGGCTTAGTTTCTTTGTGCAGAATCCAGTTGGCTATCAGCAGCATATAATAATTTCCATTGTGGAGACAGAGATCATGGACACTTTTAGAAGTCAACAAGGCTTCCAGTTGTGCAAGGAAGTACTTCATATCTCCTTCCACAAGCTCCCTAAATATACTCTGTATGCAGTGAACTGTGTTTTCCCTTAGCCATCAGACTATAGTAGCTCTCTAATTTGTACAGTGCTTCCTAAATTGATTTCTAATTTAGTAAAATATTTCATTTTCCCTTCTCCTCTATCACTTCCTCATTTCTTTGATAGAAGCAGTTGTGAATGATGCTAATATTGAAAATAAATCTGGATCAGCTGATGTTGCTGCAAGCCAGCATGTGATGGTTTGTGCCCTTCAGGAACTTGGGAGTCTGGTTCAGAGCCTGAATGCCACTGCATCACCTCTTATTCAAGAACCTTCTATAGGTAAGTTGTCAAGGTTGCAATTCTGTACAAATTTACTTGGAGCCAAAATCTGAATTTTAGCATTCTGTCTATAATGACTAAAGAGATAATCTGATGAGGAATACATCTATATTTACCACCTGTGTAGCAATCATAAAGGTTTGCCAAATAATTATTAAAATTGTTTTGTTTGTTCTGTCTATTTAAAATGTTTATATCTTGTTCCTTGGAATTTTGGCTTCTTCTTGCTAGCCCTCCCCGATCTTTGAAAATCTGCTCCAAATAGTTTCCAAATCTCTGGAGCACTTTTTAAATGCTTGCGGGAAGTACAGAAAGAGGTTATATCCTCTTTACCCTTCCGTTAGTGGAAGCTGTTTTTATGAGCTCCGTAACAGTGTCTGGTGTCGGCCCTTGACAAAAATATTTTTAAAATATGATAAGAGATAAAAACAAGGGCAGCCTGTGGGCCAGATGTTGGCCAGCAGTTCCTGAACTCTGCTATATGGAAATGCTTTAGTGATTCTCTCTTAAGATTCTGCTGTTGTTTGTGCTGATTTCAGGATTGCTTGAAACTGTTACTTCAGTTCTTTTACATCCCAGTATGGCCGCTCGACTTGCTGCTGCATGGTGTTTGCGTTGTGTAGCTGTGGCCTTACCTTTCCAGTTGACTCCTTTTTTGGACCGGTGTGCAGAAAGGCTCAACAACTTGAAGACCTCACCCGAAGCTGTTAGTGGTTACAGTTTTGCAATGGCAGCTTTGTTAGGTGGCGTTCATCAATGTCCTTTAGGTATTCCTCATGCAAAAGGAAAGGTGAGCTTGTAAATTCTTGGTAAATCATTATTTTTTTCTCCTTTAGTGTTGTTAAAGACAACAACAATAAAGTACTACTTGCTGGTTAAGTGTTGGTATGTCTATCTATCATAGATTATAATCATGATCATAGAACTGAAGGGCTGGAAGTTACCCTTCAAGGCCAGTCCCTGTCACTTAGGCACAGTGAGGAATAGAACTCTCAACCTCTGGCTCCAGAGCCAGATGCCTAAACCACTGAGCTATCATGAATCTGTTTCCTTCTTTTTAGAGGGTAATGACCATATCTTAGGTGTGTTTTGTTTTGTTTTGTTTTATAGTACAGTAAGACTTGCAGTATCAGTGGGGAATTGGTTCCAAGCCCTCTTCAAGCGCATGCCAAAAACTGTGGATATAAAAAATTTCTATATATTTTAGTCTCTGCTTCCCTCTAGTGGCCAGCTCTGGTAATTCACCTTGGAAACATTAATATTTTCAGGCAGTGGATAAATAAAACCACAACTAATGATCTTGTGGACATGGCAGTCCTACTGTAGTGAAACCTCTCATTCACTTTAAGTTAAGGAGAAGCCTTCCAACCTACCAGATCAGGCAAGATTGGTATATACAGTTGTAATGCACCAACCAGCATTGCTGAGGAGACTGAAATTGAACAATTCTATGAAGATTTACAACACCTTCTAGAACTGACACCAAAGAAAGATGTTCTTCTCATTCTAGGGGACTGGAATGCTAAAGTAGGGAGCCAAGAGATAAAAGGAACAACAGGGAAGTTTGGCCTTGGAGTTCAGAACGAAGAAGGACAAAGGCTAATAGAGTTTTGTCAAGAGAAGAAGCTGGTCATCACAAACCCTCTTTTCCAACAACACAAGAGGCGACTCTATACATGGAAATCACCAGATGGGCAATATCGAAATCAGATTGATTATATTCTCTGCAGCCAAAGATGGAGAAGCTCTATACAGTCAGCAAAAACAAGACCTGGAGCTGACTGTGGTTCTGATCATCAGCTTCTCATAGCAAAATTCAAGCTTAGACTGAAGAGAGTAGGAAAAACCACTGGGCCACTCAGGTATAATCTAAACCAAATCCCTTATGAATACACAGTGGAAGTAAAGAACAGATTTAAGGAACTAGATTTGGTGGACAGAGTGCCTGAAGAACTTTGGATAGAGGCTCGTAACATTGTCCAGGAGGCAGCAACAAAAACCATCCCAAAGAAAAGGAAATGCAAGAAAGCAAAGTGGCTGTCCAACGAGGCCTTAGAAATAGCAGAGAGGAGAAGGGAAACAAAATGCAAGGGAGATAGGGAAAGTCACAGAAAATTGAATGCAGACTTCCAAAGAATAGCAAGGAGAGACAAGAGGGCCTTCTTAAATGAACAATGCAAAGAAATAGAGGAAGATAACAGAAAAGGAAAGACCAGAGATCTGTTCAGGAAAATTGGACATATTAGAGGAACATTTTGCGCAAAGATGAACATGATAAAAGACAAAAATGGGAAGGACCTAACAGAAGCAGAAGACGTCAAGAAGAGGTGGCAAGAATACACAGAGGAATTATACCAGAAAATCTGGATATCCTGGACAACCCAGATAGTTTGGTTGCTGACCTTGAGCCAGACATCCTGGAGAGCGAAGTCAAGTGGGCCTTAGAAAGCCTGGCTAACAACAAGGCCAGTGGAGGTGATGGCATTCCAGTTGAACTATTTAAAATCTTGAAAGATGATGCTGTTAAGGTGCTACATTCAATATGCCAGCAAGTTTGGAAAACTCAACAGTGGCCAGAGGATTGGAAAAGATCAGTCTACATCCCAATCCCAAAGAAAGGCAGTGCCAAAGAATGCTCCAACTACCGTACAATTGCACTCATTTCACACGCTAGCAAGGTTATGCTCAAAATCCTACAAGGTAGGCTTCAGCAGTATGTGGACCGAGAACTCCCAGAAGTACAAGCTGGATTCCGAAGAGGCAGAGGAACTCGAGACCAAATTGCTAACTTGCGCTGGATTATGGAGAAAGCCAGAGAGTTCCAGAAAAATATCTACTTCTGCTTCATCGACTATGCGAAAGCCTTTGACTGTGTGGACCACAGCAAACTATGGCAAGTCCTTAAAGAAATGGGAGTGCCTGACCACCTTATCCATCTCCTGAGAAACCTATATGTGGGACAGGAAGCAACAGTTAGAACTGGTCATGGAACAACTGAGTGGTTCAAAATTGGGAAAGGAGTACGGCAAGGCTGTATATTGTCCCCCAGCTTATTTAACTTATATGCAGAATACATCATGCGGAAGGCTGGACTGGAAGAAACCCAAGCCGGAATTAAGATTGCCGGAAGAAATATCAACAACCTCCGATATGCAGATGATACCACTCTGATGGCAGAAAGTGAGGAGGAATTAAAGAACCTTGTAATGAGAGTGAAAGAGGAAAGTGCAAAAAACGGTCTGAAACTCAACATCAAAAAAACTAAGATCATGGCCACTGGCCCCATCACCTCCTGTGTCAGATTTTATCTTCCTGGGCTCCATGATCACTGCAGATGGAGACAGCAGCCCTGAAATTAAAAGACGCCTTCTTCTTGGGAGGAAAGCGACGACAAATCTTGACAGCATCTTGAAAAGCAGAGACATCACCTTGCCAACAAAAGTCCGAATAGTCAAAGCTATGGTTTTCCCTGTCGTGATGTATGGAAGTGAGAGCTGGACCATAAAGAAAGCAGACCGCCGAAGAATTGATGCCTTTGAATTGTGGTGCTGGAGGAGACTCTTGAGAATCCCCTGGACTGCAAAGAGAACAAACCTATCAATTCTAAAGGAAATCAACCCTGAGTGCTCACTGGAAGGACAGATCCTGAAGCTGAGGCTCCAGTACTTTGGCCATCTCATGAGAAGAAAAGAGTCCTTGGAAAAAACCTTGATGTTAGGAAGGTGTGATGGCAAGAGGAGAAGGGGACGACCGAGGATGAGATGGCTGGACAGTGTCTGCGAAGCAACCAACACGAACCTGACACAACTCCGGGAGGCAGTAGAAGACAGAAGGGCCTGGCGTGCTCTGGTCCATGGGGTCACGAAGAGTCGGACACGACTAAACGACTAAACACAACACACATTTATGGATATGGTTGCTGCTGTACTGACAACAGCCAAACTACTTTTAAAGCCTAAGCTGTTGAATGTCTTCTTACCTGGGCTCCTGGATAGCCTAGAATTGGATGCTGTTGTTACCACTTTTACTCTTGTAACCTTTGTTTCTTTCCTTGAGCTCAGCTATTAGAAACATCCACATATATCTGTCAGTTGTACCACTCCGTAGTATGTTCTACTTGTTCTCTTTTTGTACCATTTTCTCTGAGTCCTTCTCAGTGTCCTTGCACATGCATTGCAAACTGTTCCTCTCACTTTTGGTACCCTTTACTAGACAGCCTGTTCTACTTGTTCTCTTTTTGTACCATTTTCTCTGAGTCCTTCTCAGTGTCCTTGCACATGCATTGATTGCTTCACCATATTTTCTTCTTCCATTAGCTTAACCAACCCATGATGTCTTTTTCCTTCCATTAAATCTCCCCTTATCCTTGCACATTTTCTGCTAGGTCTTGGATCCATCCTCTGAATTATTTTTTTACATCACAATCCAGAAAGAATAAAAATAAAGAAAGATCATGCTGAAGTTAAACTGAGTGACAGTGCATATTATATGAAATAAAGTTTGCTTGTGAACTACTTGTGTTGAACTAATTGTAGATCTTTATCTATGATAACAATTTAAAGTCTTTTCTTCTGAGTTGAAATTATAAGAATATTCCTTTTTTCTTCTCCTTTTTAAGATGGTTGTTAGCATTGCTGAGGATCTTCTACGAACTGCGGCACAGAATAGCAGATTGTCTTTACAGAGAACCCAGGCTGGATGGCTTTTACTTGGTGCTCTGATGACTTTAGGTTTGTAAATCAAATGCCTGTCTTTTAGCTTTGTTTTAGTATATATGTTTTTTTGTTTTTATATGTTTATCTGATTTGTACTTAACCAGTGTGGTTAAACATCCATCAAAGCTTAAAATAAAATACTTCTCAGCTTCATACCTATTTGTAACAGAATAATGCTTAAGATCTAGGCTCAGATGGCCTGTCTTCTGAGTGCTGCTCTGCAATCACAGTACTAGAGTTTTATGATCCTGTGAGAAATCCTGTTGCTGCTACTGCTGTTTACAAGGAAGACATACAGGAGCACAGCTGAAAAGTGAATTTGAAAGAATGAGTTGGAAATCGTGTGGATAGTTAATGGGGAGTTGAGGGAGATAATAAAGCATCTTGTCAAATTGAGCAAACAGGAATGCTTATCTAATCTGGATTATCTTCTATCCTATGGGAGAAAAGCAAGCAATACATCTAATAATCTTTATTTAGTAAAAGTTGTAAACAATATAAAGTCAGAATTAAGTTGGCATTAGTTCAATTAATTACATTTGATTAATTTAAATTAAATAGATTGATTTTAAATGAAGTAATTTAAGTTTAATTAAACTTGTTTGCATTTGAGTCTGTGTATGTGTGTGCACATGTGTGCGTGCCTGGTCCCCCACCACCCAGCCACCACTGGGCATGACTTTCATAATTGAAAATGCCTTGCGCCCTAATTCTTACCTAAAATGGAATCTGAATTCTAAATAGAATATTTTTTTAAATTAGCTTTCATTGATAGAGATATTTTAATGCTGAAGAATGTTACATAGGTCTGCGTGTGTAAATGCAAATGCTCCTGTAATACTACACTAGCACTTCAGATGCATTAATTTCACTTGTAATGATCTACATGCAGTATTAGTACTAACAGTACTAACTAGAGTACACTTACTGAAATCAGTGGAGTTTACATGTGAGTAACAACTTCCATTCATCTCAGTGTGTCTGTTATGCTTAGGACTAACAACTCAATTTGGTCCACTATTAATTTTGTGGTAGAGTAATTTGAAAAATATCTTCACTTACTTTTTCTCTCTTTTTTCCTAAGTTAATCATAGTCTAAGTTTCCAAACTCATTATTTTAAGAATAGTAGCATGCAAAAATTGGAGTTTTTGAAGAGCCATTTGTTTTTGTTTTGATACTGTGTTTTGCAGAGAATTGTTAAGCAGTGCTGTAATTCGTGTCTCTGTACAGGGCCTTCAGTTGTTCGTTATCATCTTCCCAAGATGTTGCTGCTGTGGCGAAATGTGTTTCCCCGTTCTCTAAAGGAACTGGAAGCGGAGAAAGCTCGTGGAGATTCCTTTACATGGCAAGTGACACTGGAAGGACGTGCAGGAGCTCTCTGTGGTAAGAATCTCAAAGAACAACACACTATTGTTATAGCCTGTCTTACAGTTAGATCATGTCATTCTTTGCTCTGGGTAACTAGCCTACCCAATGTGATAGAGTTATTAAAATAAATGCAGTGAAGTGGGAAGCTTTCTCTTATACTTTCAGAAAAAAGGTGCGATAAAAATGTGATCAAAAATAAACTGGGATGCAGAAAATTCTGAATTTATTTTCTTAGCTTTTCAATTTGCTAATGAAATTGTTAGTTGACAGTAGCTTCTTTTAAAGGAAAGCACTGTCTTGTACCCCCCTGACTTTTGAATTACACTGCTGTTTGCATTTTGTCACCTGCACAGTTAGCATTTCACTGATATATTTTTCTTTATTAGCTATGAGGAGTTTTGTTGCTCACTGCCCTGAGCTTTTAACAGAAGATGTTATTCGAAAACTGATGACCCCTATTGAATGTGCTATGACAATGATGTCTCAGTAAGTATGATTTCTTAGGCAAAGAAAAGCAGTTTTTCTTTTTCTCTTACCTACAAAACTACAACAACTTGAAATAACCAGATACATGAATAGAATGTTGACAGTCTTGACTTTTTATACTTCAATTTTACATCATAACATTGTCTATTCTGAAGTCTGAGTTTTTCCTTTTGTATAATATTTTATATTTCTTCATTTATCTGTTTTGTCATGCAAGGCATGAAACTTGTCTGAAAATCTTCTGAAGAATGTGTCATGTAAATGCCTTATAGCTACCCTATGATAGGAATTGCTGATGACAATACGTAGGGCAGGCTTTAACATTTTGTGACCCTCCAGACTCGGCCTTTTCTAATAGCCCATTGACAAACCTCTTAGGATGGTGGTTTACAATGTATTCCTGGTATCTGCTTTCTTCTGTGTACCTGAGGAGTTCTTTGTAACTTGGGTCTTTGTCTGCTTTCAGAGCGATGCATTTTATGGGAAAGAGAGTAGTGGGGGAGGGGGAATTCAAGGCAACCATCAGAATTATGTTGGACAGAGTGAGATATGATGGAGGACAGCAGCCTTGTGGCCACAAACCAAGGTTCCATCCTAGGTAGCAGGCTCCAGGTTGACTTGGCCTTCTATCCTTCTGAGATTGGTAAAATGAGTACCCAGCTGGGGGAGGGGGGCAATGTGTACCCTGCATAATTAACTTGTAAGCTGCACAGAGAGCATTTTAAGCACTATGGGGTGGTATATAAACAGCATCCTTTTTATGTAAAAGGGAAAGGTGAGAGTCTATTAGTTGTCCCTAAGCTGTCCCCAGATTTAAATAGTTGCACAGCCTTGGTGTCAGGCCCCCTGGGTTGAAAGTGTTGCTGCTAAGTGCCTGGTTAGTAAAGGGGAAAGCAGCAACCATCCAGGATTTGATCATGTGTGAGCATATGCTGACATGGGTTGCATTACAGAGACGTGGTTGGATGAGGCTGGGGTGTTAATCTCACTACTCAGCTTTGTCCACTGGGCTTTTCTGTATAGTAGCAAGCAAGTGTTGCAGTGGCTTATCATGATTCCATCCCTCACGACAGGTGTCATATTGCCTAGTTTTTCAGGTTTGCATATGTGTATCTGAAAGTGGGAGCCAGGGACAGAAAGGGATTCTGTTGAATTATCAGAATCAACCCACCCACTGCTCAAAGTCTTTCATTTCCCATTTTAGAATGGGATGGTTTGTACTTTTGTTGCTTTTAAGTCTGTTTTGTTAATGCTTCTATAGAATAGTTCTAATGTGGTGTTTATTTAATTCTGTAGCATTCCCTCTGTAATTAAGGCCCATGGAGCTCATCTGAAAGCTAGTGCGGCAATGGTCCGATTGAGACTTTATGACATTTTGGCTTTGCTACCACCAAAAACATATGAAGGTAAATTCATCTCAGTTGTTTATTATTCTTAGCACTTGACTGCATATCCTTTATAATGATAATTGTGTGCTGTCAAGTCAATTCTGACGTGTGGCATCAAGGGGTAACTTAAACAGTGAGTTATCTCTAGAATACTGTTTTATAATTTACAGATTTTTAAATGTTTTTGAATTGTTTTAAACTTGATTTTTAATCTTAAAATATGTTTAGTTATTTTTTAAAATATGATTTTTATATAGTGTCTTTTAAATCTGTTCACACAGGCTGGCTCTTCTGGGATGCACATTGCAAAACTGTCAAGGGGTAACTTACACAGTGAGTTATCTCTAGAATACTATTTTATAATTTACAGATTTTTAAATGTTTTTGAATTGTTTTAAACTTGATTTTTAATCTTAAAATATGTTTAGTTATTTTTTAAAATATGATTTTTATATAGTGTCTTTTAAATCTGTTCACACAGGCTGGCTCTTCTGGGATGCACATTGCAAAACTGAACTCCCAAACTCTGGCTCTTCAGCCAGATAACTCTGCTTTCCAACCTTCTCTTAGTCATGATTCTTATTTTGAGACTAGCCAGGACTGGCAGCAGTGATTTTGGGGCATTAAACGCCCCCCTCCACAACATCTTGAGGCTCCCAATGGCTTCCTCAGATCAAAAGGGTTCCTGTGGCAGCCTTGGAATCTGATTTGGGTGAAAGAATAGAATACGAAACATTTAATCAACAATAAAATTCGGTAGCTGATGATATCATCAGCTCACGTGGGTGTAACTTATGAATTTTGGCCACTGAAATTGATGTTTATGTATGAGAATTCCACATAAGTCTTGGTCACCAATTGTTGCTTGTTAACAAGGTGCTGGTTGTGCTCCTGCACATACCCTGTTTTCCCCAAAATAAGACCTAACCTGAAAATAAGCCTTAGTATGATTTTTCAGGATGATTGTAATATAAGTCCTACTCCAAAAATAAGCCCTAGTTAAGTGAAACCCCGCCCTCCACCCTTGTGCAGCAACCATAACTGTAAAATAAAATATGACATGATTGTAAAATAAAACATCCCCTGAAAATAAGTCCTAATGCATTTTTGGAGCAAAAATTAATATAAGATCCTTCTTATTTTTGAGGAAACATGGTATGTTTAGTCGCATGATCAAGCAAACCCAGGAATAAAAGAAGCTGCTCTTTAATGCAGCAACTTGCTATTGTGACTTACACTAGAGTAAATCAGTGAAAGGATTATGGTCTTTATTTTTAAGCAGTATTATGGAGATTTAAATTGGCCCCACTTAAGATTTTAAGCCATTATGGGTAGTTACGATACGGCAACACTATCCATAGTTACATTGTATTCTAACAATAATTTTGCCAGCATACAGAGGAGTTGTCAAAGTTTCTCAAGGATGGGTTGCATGATTAATATTATTCTATTGAATAAATGATCTTTTCACAAGAAATGTATAAAATGTTGAACTAGATCTATGGGGATCAGGACAAAAATATCTTCTAGAAAATAAACTTGTTATACACTGCCTGCTGCATATAAATTGAAGCATTTCAATATTGTTAGACCAGATAATTGACACTTGGCCCTTCCTAACGAGTCATCTATAATTTATAGATCTCCAGAGAAAAATCAGCATCTTGTGTCCTCACAACTGATATAAAGTTTAAAAGAGGATAAATCCAGTGTCACCTATGTAATTTTTCACCTTGTATAATTCCCTTTCTTCTCAATATCCTCTTAATTTATTTGTCTCATACAAGACAGATAAAACTGAATGTCCAAAAAAGTCTCTGCTTTTTTTCTTTTTATTCAACAGGCCTATGCAATCAGATATAAATGATTATATGGTTGTACAGTATATTTAATAAATATTTAAAACAATCCAAAGCCTTATACAGTAATATAGAAATATAAAAACTTACTGGACTAAATAACTGTTCTAACAAAATTAATAGGATGCTTAGAGGTAAAATAATAAAACTGTAGTCTAAAATGTTTTACAATACTTAAAAATAAAAAGAATAAAAATTAAAAAGTATTACGAAGACTTCGACAAACAAGATTTTATTATATCAAGGGTTCAGGATTGTAAACTGTTGCTGAACTTCACTATTATGATCACCAGTAAGGTGTACCCTAAGAGCTTTAAACACCATTTTCAATAGCATTCAACTATAAAAAGTGTTCATATTTCTGTTATCTTGCTGTCTGTAGAGTAGAGTTCTTCTTTTACTTTACTTTAGTAAATTATTTCTTTATCATTGTTTTAAGCACACTCCACTATCAGAGCTGCTTTGCTAACTGGCCCTCAATTTCTTCAGCATTTCACAGATACAAAATGCAAAACCTTGACAGTATTACACTATGCCTTCTGAAAAGCTGCTCTAGATTAGGTACTGGCAGTTCATCAGGTATGAAGTACTGCAGCAAAAGGGGAAAGGAGCAATAGTTTATGCAGAAGGATTTTGCATGTGCATATGGGCTTCTTCTGTAGAGTATAGCTCTGGTATTCATATTTTGCTTTTGTACAAAATGGCACATTCAGCTTTGGGGAGCACCACATATGCTTTTCCATTGCACCTACTTGTGCAAGCTATGTGAAGCTTGCACTTCAGAAAAGGAAATGTAAGATTGTCATATTCTGTCCCACTCCAAGAATAGAATTAATACTGGCTTTTTAAAAATGATGCTTTAAAAAAATGTTGTTGACTGCTATTGCTATCAGCAGTAGCCAGTATAACCAGCAGCAAATATCAATGGGGACTGCAGTCCGACAACATCTGAAGGGATGCGTTGCCCATACCTGTTGTACAACATCATCCCTATCTGAGGTATGTGTTCATTCCATATAATGTTTGTTAATTAATGTATGAACATATTTTTCCCAAAATAATTTTTCTTTAGGATCATTTAATGCGCTTCTTCGGGAGCTAGTGGCAGAATTTACTTTGACAGACAACTCTGCCAATACAACAACATCCCTGCTTAGATCACTTTGCCATTATGATGATAGTGTTCTTCTTGGCTCCTGGCTACAAGAAACAGACCATAAATCAATTGAAGATCAGGTATCTAAACTTTTTAAGAAGTCACTCAAGCTTCCATTTTCTACCTTCTTGAAGACTCTTCACCAGACACTGACTGTTGTATGTTTTCCATTAGCATACCTGGTATATATTAGTAGGAAAAATTAGTTCAAATGGTTTCTAAGTTAGATGATTAAGTTAGTTACTCCAGGACATACAGTTAAGATAGTTACTCCAGGACATACAGTATAGGGCAACATTGATCATCACATGAGCAGACTTCCACTTGTGCAGTGGGGCACCCTCTTTCCCCATAATTTCAGGTCTGCTTCAGGGTTCCCTCAAATGAGTTTGGAGAGGTGCAAAGCACTGCATAGTGAAAGAGGAATCAGTTCTACCAGCAGTGTTTATTCTGCTAGTGAAAGGATAACAGTTGAATGTAATCCAAAATAGTACTATTGTGGTGTGTTCTTCTTCCTCCTACTTTGAAAATAGGAATTCTTCTATCTATAATTGCTGCTCTGATCTACATTATAGAGTCACGGGTTTAATGTAGTCCTACAAATTGCCTTACTGAACACAAACAAACCCATTTAACAGCCTTTTAATGTTGTTGGACTTCATCTGCTTATGGAATTTAAGGTCCATACTCTAGAGTTTACTCTATTGACACTTGGAAGAATGAAGACAGTTATGCCCATCCATAACAGGTGTTTTTTTTAAATGTTTGGTGTTGAGTAAACTGATAGTGTATGCTCCATTGAACAAGAATAATTCATAGATAAATTAGTTAAAAACTCAGGTACTCTGATTTAGCTAAATAGTAGCATTTGTTCCCCAGTGTGCAACTTTAAAGCATGAAAGATACCTCTGCCATGTTTCTGTCTTTTGATGTTTTACAGCTCCAGCCAAACAGTGCCTCTGGAAGTGGTGCTCTAGAACATGACCCATCTTCCATTTACTTGCGCATCCCTGCTGGTGAAGCTGTGCCTGGACCTCTTCCTTTGGGAGTATCAGTCATTGATGCCTCAGTTGCTCTCTTTGGAGTCGTATTTCCTCATGTTTCCTACAAACACAGGTCTGTTTTTAATAAAAGCATGTTTGAATGCCTCATGGTGGTATTCTTTTATATAAAAATGAATGGTAATCCTCACTGAAAGTTACTTATCAACTTTGTTTTTAACATATTTAATTTTCAAAGTTTAGAACCTATGTAGAAAGATTTGTAGTTGAGAAAAAAGGAGTACAATGCTTGAAGGGAAATCCTATGATTACTATTATAAATACTATTCCTGTTGTGTGACATATGTTCAGCCACAATGAAATTTGCAAAAGAAAAATAACGTTGTGGAACTCACCTCACATAAGACATACTCCTTTCACTACATGGAAGTATCTGACAGCTACAGCCTTAGTGAATCTCTACATTTTTATAGGCCTGTTTTCTCCATCACAGAACATTTCTCTCACAACATTTATATTTGCAGGCTACAAATGCTGGATCATTTTGCAGAGTGTGTCAAGCAAGCAAAAGGTGTTCGTCAACAAGCTGTGCAGCTTAATATTTTCACTGCTGTTCTCAGTGCATTAAAGGTAAACCTATTTCTGAAACTATAAAACTGTCTTTCTGTTTTCTGTTTTTTTTGTATGTGTGTCCTTCTATAGCCAGAAATTAGTAATGTTGAAACTGTGAAATACCACTATGCATGTACATCAAAATTTATGTATACATAAATTGACTTCTGAAATTGTTAATGTGTAAATGTAATTTGGAAGATCAGACTGTCTTTACTAAACATATTGCAAATCAAGAACTGCAGAATGGATTATTCTAGCCTGCTTTTATATTTCTGTTTATGGAAGAGGTTTTTTTATGGTGCTTTCTTATTCAATGCTGAAACGCATGCAATATTGTTTTACATTAAGGAAAGCAAGCATGAAAGAGACTCCCACCCAAGAACAAATGATTTATTTAGATCTTGCTATAGTCCGGTACTAGAGACTATTCCTATGGTATTTTTTAAAAAGGGTGAGAGATTTAGAACAAACTTCAATCATAGAGGCATAAATTCATTGGTTATCACTGTTCCATAGAAAGTTGCAAACAAACTAATGAAAAAAACTCATAAAACAAAATGTCTAGAGTTGTATCACAGGATGTAAAATATAAAGATGTACACCATGGTGTGTCAGATCAAAAGTCTATGTTGTCCATCATTCTGTTTGCCCAGTAGCCAACCATACATAAAAGTCTATGATGTCCATCATTCTGTTTGCCCAGTAGCCAATGGATGGCCTGTATAAAGTCCACGAGCAGTAGGGTAGGAACGCACGCCATCATGTTCCTGGCAAATGGTATACAGAGACATACTGTCTCTGATATTAAAAAAAATAACTGATACTAGTAGCTATTAATAGCCTTATCTACCTTTAATTTCTCTAATCACTTTTTAAAATCTGTCTAAATTTACAGCCAGTCCCGCATCTTGTGGAAATGAATTCCAGCAATAAGATGCAGCTAGAGTACACCTGTTGAATCAGTGGGGATTTGGTGAATCAGTTCATCTATAAGTTCCATTGGTTAAATGGGTTTATTGTTGTTGACACTTACTACTAGATTTCAGTAAGTGTGTGAAGAGGCATTTCCTTTTATGTGTCCTAAATCTTCCACCATTCAGCTTCAGTGTGATGCTAGGGAACATAATACATTCTTAATGCCACCTTGTGTTGGTGTGATCCATTAGGACATCTGATGTGCTGCAGGAAGATTGGGAGGGACCCTTATTATTTCAGAACTTGTCCCTGTTGCAAATATAGCCCTGATACCTAGGCTGTATATAATTGTTCACTGTAAAGCTTTCTCTGTGATTTGTAAATATTTGTGTCTCAGTTATTACAGCTCACATGGCAGATACTCTAAAGCATATAACTCAAAACCAGATATGAAAATAGAATAAAAGAGCATATAATCAATGCAGTTACAGAGTAATATGTCTGGATTTCAGTTTATTTTACATTAAATCATAAACAGCCCTTTCTGAGTATATAGTAGGCATCCTTCAGTCTCGAAAGACTATGGTAGCATGCTCTGTATGGAGGACTTGGAACAGCGTCTAGTGTGGCTGAGGAGGCCAATTCGAGAGTTACAATCTAGATCCTTTGGAATCCGACCATCAGCCATTCTCACAACGTGCCCAAGCCAGCGTAGACGTCGCTGATACCTTCCTGAGTAGAAGGCCACTTTTGGATTTTAGCTGTGATAATTATGAAACATTTGCCAGAATATGTGTGGAACCCCAAATTTTCCCATTATTAGAATGTTTTTCAAAGCAATAATCCTGGCTAGTTCAAATATGTGTTCCTAGAAAAACCTGTAATATTTTCTCTTTCGTTTAAGGGGTTGGCTGAGAATAAAAGTACTTTAGGACCCGAAGAAGTTCGTAAATCTGCCTTGACCTTAGTTATGGGGGCTCTTGACAATCCTAATCCCATTCTGAGATGTGCAGCAGGCGAAGCTCTTGGCAGAATGGCACAGGTGGTTGGAGAAGCAACTTTCATTGCCAGAATGGCACAGTACAGTTTTGACAAGTAAGCTGTGTTTTTGCTCCAAGTAAAAGGAAAACTGACAAACCTCTCTATCCTGAATTGACAGCAGGCTATGTTTCTTTTTACTTGCGTACATTTTTTTCAGTGTGCCCTGAAAAGTTTATGAGTAGCTTATGAATCATGCATAGTTGTTTTTTTAGAAATAAAAAAAATAACTTGTCAGTAAATACTAATAGTTCTGTCTTCCTCCATCTTGTTGATTAAAATGATGGCTCTTACATTATCTTAGGAAATATTTTTTTATTACTTGATTAAATTCTGTATTAGCTGTTGACTTTACAAAAAAATGTAACTTTAAAAAAATCTTGGCAGATTAAAATCCGCTAGAGATGTTGTATCAAGAACAGGACATTCCTTGGCTCTTGGCTGTCTTCATCGCTACGTTGGTGGAATAGGTTCTGGGCAGCACTTGAAAACCAGTGTCAGCATTCTGCTAGCCCTGGCCCAGGATGGAACCTCTCCTGAAGTTCAGGTAAACGAAATAAATAATATTCCACATTAAAAAGAAGGGTTCTAAAATTTCCCTCCTATGTGGTTGCGAATGTTTAATAATATCATGCTTTGCTATCCAAAAGAGACTGATAGTAAATTTTATAGACTTTTTAAATCGGAAAACCCTGCAGGGATTGTAAGCATGTTATGGAAACAACAGAACAGGTTATTACCTACTCTTTGTGGGCTTGTCCATTTCTTTGTGTGTTTGGGGCCAAAAAACCCTGTGAATTGGGCAGATCTACATACTCTTTCTCCACTCACTCCCACAAGTTGTGATTGGTAGATCAGACATCAAAAGTAAATCACTAAAGAAACCTCCATAGCAGTGAATTGGATTTACAGAGAGTATCCAGTATGAGATTGCTTTGTCCAAGATTCATCATTGTCAGTGATCTGTAAAAGTAGATTTCAGATTCATTTAATAACCCTGGGATGATGCATATACTCGTACCTTGAACCAAAGTGAATCAGCTGCTTCAAGAGTAGAACCAGAGCCCAAGAGATTGCATGCCTTTCTTTGGTGCCATAGAATGTGGAACATAGTTGGACCTAAATAACAGAAGCCCGATCCATCTTAACCTGATCACTTAAATAAAATAAGCTGTATCTACCTGACCTGTTGTTCTCGAGTTTGTGTTTATTGGTTAGGAGGGCATTTCTGAGAAGTGTTACATCTTTGTGTGTATGTTTCTTCTTCCATTTTTTGTTTTCTCTGGCAGGAACAGATCCCGGGTTAAATTTTCTTTATTTATAGATAGGCAGATGTGAGTTCCCAACATAGAGAGATGTACTTGGTGAATCCTTCTGTGCTGTAAGGGAAATCATGCACATCTTGGTAAATTTTTCCAAAAGTATACTACTAAAATATTCATTTTTCTTCTAGACATGGTCTCTCCACTCACTTGCTTTAATAGTGGATTCTAGTGGACCAATGTATCGTGGCTATGTGGAGCCCACACTGTCCTTGGTTCTCACCTTACTTCTGACGGTGCCTCCATCACACACAGAAGTACATCAGTGTTTGGGTCGATGTCTAGGAGCTATAATAACAACAGTTGGTCCTGAGCTGCAAGGTTAGTACAAAAAGCAATATAAATCCACAGTTCTGTAATGTGCACAATGTAACTGCTTATGATTTTCAATAAGACAGGATTGCTGTTTGAAAACAGTTCATTTTTTTCAAGAATCTGAAACAGAAATGCTTGGAATCACAGTCTTATTCCTGCTTTGTTCTGTATGTTTTATATCCTGTATCTTATATCTATAGCTAAGAATATTTCATTGTAGATTCCTAGGTCAAATAGTATTTTACTGATGTTATTGGTCTTTAATTAATAAAAACTTATTTTTCCACTATCATTGTGCCTACGTACTGTTTGCCAACAGAGCACTTTCCAGTGTTCAAGAACCTCCTTGGTTTAGGTCCATTGAGCCATAATGAATTATACCAGTCAGTAAGATAAGATGAGGAAATGAGTGATTGAGGAAGGAAAAGCCTTCTTAAGGCAGTTCCTTTGAATTGTGCTGCCTACAGGTGCTTCAACAGAACTGCAGTAACAAAGACTTTTGATATAAGTGGCCACTTAAAACAAAGAGAACAGAATCCCCTGGTGCAGCTTCACAGTGAGACAATTCGTATTTCTCTTGTTGTGTAGTTGCATCCTTAGATCCATGTCACAGGACGTTTTCTCCAGCACACCGGAAATGGTGGATATCAAGATTTTCACAGTGGTGGGCCCATGTTTAGAACTCCCTCCCTATGGAAATACATATGACCTCCTCAGTGTTAGTTAAAACAAACTTGGAAAATCTTTGCCTTTAAGGCTGCATTTGGTGCTTAAAAATAAGTGGTGCTACTGTGGTATATGTGTTAATTGGGATTTTATCGTTTTTTGTATTTTCTGCTTTCTTGTGGGAACACATTGTGAAAGGCAGGTTAACCTCATTAATTAATTAATAAATCAGATTTTCTTTTGTTTTGTATACCTTCAAGACATGGATAGGTAAAATTGTACTGCAGGTGTGTTTTGGCTCTTTTAAAAAAATTAAAATGATTCTTGCATTAATATGCTTCAGTGGTCTTTACAGAGATATATATGGATATTTTCCCAAATATTTTTATAGAATTGACCAAATGGCTTACTTTGTATCTGATGTTGTTTCAGATGTTGATTTCATAATGCTAATTTCATTAGGTAATGGAGCCACTGTTTCTACCATCCGATCCTCATGTCTGGTGGGATGTGCAATTACACAAGATCATTCAGACTCTCTGGTTCAGGCAGCTGCCATTTCCTGCCTCCAGCAGCTTCATATGTTTGCACCACGACATGTTAACCTTTCCAGTCTTGTTCCCAGTCTTTGTGTGAGTATAAAATATGTTGCCGTTTTATTTAGTCAATATGCATTTGATAATCGAGGAAGGGGAGAGCGGAGCTGAGGTTAGAGAGATGTTTCAAACAATAGTATTTTTATTCATTTCCCAATGCATTACCTGTTCCTATTTTCTTAAGAAAATGTGCTTCACACACTTTCCCCTTTGGTTTAATATAAACACCCGAGCATATATTTTTGTTTTAAGTTAGGTTACTTCTGTGTTGTGTATTTGGCAGATCTTGTGACAAGGTAGATTAGGAAGGTCCCCTATGATGATGGAAGAAAAGAAGCAATTGTTACAGAGCATGCTGAAAAATTGTGTCCTCAATAATAATAATAATAATAATAATAATAATAATAATAATAATAATAATAATAATAATAATAATAATAATAATAATACCTGATTAGATGTAGACATTTTTGACAGATTGCAAGACTTCTATTATTTTTTTTACTTCTTTTGGAATATGTTCAGAATGGCAATCGAACAGTATTGCAATTTACAGACATTTCAAATGTCCATAAAGGAAGTGTAGATTCAATTTTATATACTCTTGGACTTTTCATGAAGGGCTATCTGTACTACATGCTAAAATTTAGAAGCAAGTACCTATGTTTTAAGCATACTTTTTAGGAAACTGGCAACTTTTCTAAGGAGATTGCTGCTATCTCCTGTGCAGAAAATACACTACCTTGAGGACAAATGACTCTTGAGGGGAAAAAAGCCAGAAATCTGTTGACATTATTGAAAGAAAAAACATATACTTTGCTTTTTAAAAAAAGATTGAAATTTGAAAGCATTTGTGTATGAAAAGCATGGTTTAGTTTGCAAGAAATTCAGGATTGTGTTGAAGAGCAGAAGCAGGTGACATATTATGTGAACGTTGCTGCTCTTAGTTGGTTTTCTTCACAGAGCTGTAATGCTGCTGCCGCCACCTTGGAAGCAGATAGCATTATCCCAATTAGATGCCTGTAAAATGATGTGTCTTCTATAATCCATCTTTATGGCCGCATGCTTTCCAGTTATACATTCTAGCACATTTTAGCTTCCTTTTAATGCCTATACCACCAAAAGTGTTGGTTTAAGATGTAGCAGTATCGGACAGATTCCTGTTCTCTGGCAAAAATGATAGAAATATCACAGCCTGGGTGGTCATGACTGTAGCTTAATACTTTAAAAACTTGTTAGGATGTGTGTGTGCACATCTGTCCATATGCACATTTCTCTGGCCTTGCTTTGGCATAAATTTGCATGCCAGCAAATTTATTGTGTATTGTATATGAATATTACATCTGTCTCTAAATTGTTTATATTATAGAAATGTTCAAATGCTGAGCAGCTCTTTGGCATTAACCTTCATTGGCTATCAATATTTTTTAAGTGACACAACAATTCATGGTTACAGGTTCATCTGTGTAGCTCCCATCTGCTGCTTCGGCGGGCTGCAGTAGCATGCCTGAGACAGCTTGCTCAGAGAGAAGCTGCAGAAGTATGTGAATATGCCATGAGCTTGGCAAAAAATTCAGGTGATAAAGAAAATAATGGCACAAGTAAGTATTGCTTCTATTTTCTCTAAAAACCAAACAAAGGTTGCTGTCTACGTTTTAGGCGTATTTCCATTTTCGTGCTTCTTCCGCTACATTTTTATGCCTTGCTTGACTTCTTCAATGCAGTGGTATGCAAAGGCCCTTCTTCCAAATTGTAAATGATGACTGTTTGTCAGCTGTTACCCTGTGGTTGTCTGTGGAAGATCCAAGGGCCTCATGCTCACCAAATGCTTTGTTTATATACAAGGGTGAGATAACCAGCATCTTGGGTATATTTGATTTTGAATGAGGATGCAATGAAAAGTCTCTGTCTGAGCCATTTGAGAGCTGAATCTAAAATGCCCTGTTAGTTAATTGATTTGGCTGATTTATTTATTTATTTTAATAAACTCAGAACTGCACAGCTGGAAGAGACCCTATGGATCATCAAGTCCAGCCCCTGTCAAGGAGGCACAGTGAGGGGGATCAAACTCCTAGCCTTTGGCTCTGCAGCCAGATACCTAAATCACTGAGCTATCCAAAAATCTACGTATATGGTGATACAGCTGTTAAATGCAGGGCCTTTTTCAGCCTGTCCACATATAAAACAGTTTCTTTTGTACAAATAGCAAAGAAATGAATGTTTATTTAAAGTATTTTTACCCCGCCTTTCTCCTTAAAAAGACGTAACATTTTAGATTTGATTAATATATTTTTAAAAGAATGTCATAGCATGGCGATACTTGGCCAACTCACATTGACGATTTCTAAGGGTACATGGAACTTCATTCCTCATTACCATTCCAGAACGGAAATACAGTGGTGCCACGCTTGATGATTACTCCGCTCCATGATGAATCCGCTTTACGATGAGGTTTTTGCGATCATTATTGCGATCGCAAAACGATGTTTAAATGAGGAAAATTTGCTAAACGACAATTTTAAAACAGCTGATCGGCGGCTCTCAAAATGGCCACCTGCTGTGCAAAATGGCACCCCGCTGTGTTTAGGATGGATTCTTCGCTTAACAGGCACTGGAAAATGGCTACCCTATGGAGGATCTTCGCTGCACGAGTTCGCTGCACTATGAGGTATTTCGCCCTTTGGAACGCATTGAAACAGTTTTCAATGCATTTCAAACTGCACGATGACGTATTTCGCCCTTTGGAACGCATTGAAACAGTTTTCGATGCATTTCAACGAGTTTTTTACTTTCGCTTGACAACGATTTTGTTGTACAGCGGTTTTTCTGGAATGGATTATCATCGTCAAGCGAGGCAGCACTGTAGAACTGAAATAAATGCACTTACATTCATTCCTTGATTACCTTGACTCTTGTGTGCCCATTTCTTAGTTTCCAAGCTTTAACTTTTAAATGTAAATTTCTTGGAAGAAGAAAATAAGTTTTTAAATTTTTTTTTAAAAAATGCTATGCACATTGATAACATTGGATAGAAAATTTTGGAACTTTGGACAATTGGGGTTCAGATAAATAGAGCTCTGATAGAATGCTCTCTATTGATTCCAAAGTTTTGTGGTAGAGACTCTTTTATTTCTTTCCAGTTGCATTCCACTATTGTTTTTCTACAGTGTTGGAATTAACTCTAGCACACTGTTCATGGAGGATCAGCTTTATCATTAGTTCAGGGAAAATTCTCTAAAGTACAAAACCACATCATATAATCGATTTTGTAGGATTGCTAGCATTTTGTGATTTATCAAAGAACCTCAGATAATATCATAAGACATTGATATATATTATCAGTGCAATGTATCTTTCTTCTTTATTTTGCAGATACCAATCCTTTTGCTCCAGGACTTGGCTCCCGGAGGGATATTAATGGGCGACATCAGGGAATTAATATCACAGAGACAGGACTTGAGGGAGTTCTTTTTGGGATGCTTGACCGGGAGACAGATCGGAAATTGTGCTCTGATATTCATGATACACTGGGACATATGCTTTCATCCCTGGCAGTGGAAAAACTGTCTCACTGGCTAATGTTATGCAAAGATGTCCTTGCTGCATCCAGTGGTAAGTGTTTAAAAATGACTATGTAAAGTGGCAAAGGATATATTAGCCTGCTTATTGACTCTTGCCCTGCTTATAGCTTTTATTTAGAATATCTTTTCTTTCAGTTTGTACATTGCTGTCTTTAGAAGAACAGAATCCCCAATCAGCATAACCACTGTTCTGGCTGAGAGATTTGGAGAGCTGTCATCCAAAAAAAAGAAAAAAAAAAGAGGTTTTCCAATTTCTGGGTGGGACAGTATCTTATAAAACATGAAAATGTTAAATATGGCATAATGTAACTTTTTTCCTTCTTAAGCTTTGAAAACACAACTGAGGAACTAAACACCTCTGAAAGCTGCTTGAGCTTTAGCTGAAGTTTCAGAGGAAACACATTTCTTAACTGTGAAGCACTCAGTCTTTGCATCACTGCCTAAAGTCCCGCTCTCTTTATACACCAGCATAATTCAATTAGCATGAATCTTGCTGTGAAATTTTCACAAGTTGAGTCAGTGTAGGCATTTGTTGTTGCGCAATGAGTCAGAGGACTTGACACACAGGAGATACCTGCACTGACTTCATAACGTACAATAATTTGCTGCCAAGATTTATGCCGATTGTGTTGGTGGGTGTAATTGATAGGATTTGGATCATTTGAGTCAGAAAAAAAGGTTCCCATGATTTCTTTCTTCATTAATTTTTCAACATGAGACATGGTAGAGGAGGCTGTTTATCAAAGGGTCAGTAAACCCTTCTTTATTCTGTGTTGTAACTCTTTGATCATTTATAAACCATTTTATTTGAAAGCATCTGTGTAGAACAAGGTACAGAAGAATTTGTCTGAGGCCTAATCTGTCTAGAACTCTTGGTAACTAATTTAGGGGGGGTATAAAGGTCAACCTACAAACCTTATTTGGAACTGATTTGCATTTTCAACTAACGCAGAGATGCTTCAGAATTCCAGTTATCATAGGCATTTTTTAAAATATATAGCAACAACATTTCATAGTTCAGGGTGTTGTTTTGTGCTTTGGTAAAGCTGTCTTTGGAAGGTTATTTGTGAGGTAATACTACTCAAATGAAGCTTCTCTAAGTCACTGATCTTTTGATTCCAGTTTGTTCTGGGAACATTTCATTTATGTTTGTGCTTGGACCTCCTGTGTGAATTAGGCCTTTGACTGTTGCTGTATTATATTACCTTATGTAACATAGTGCTAGTAATTATTCTAGATTCTTGCCAGGTGTTTACTGTGCTGTTCTGTAAATGAAGTGTCCTGCCAGTATTGGAACCATGCAGAAATATTTCCTCTCCTTTTTATATGTGTGTAGCTAAGACTTTACATTTACTTAAAGGTATTGGTACTGCTTTACTTGGCTGACTTCAAAGTTTTTCCATTTTTTAAAAAGGAAGAGGTATGTGAAGGTATTTCTTACTAGGTCTCTTTAGAGGTCAGCAAATAAACATTTTTTGCGAAATATCAAGATGCCTTTCAGGTTCCAATCTTGATGGTTAAAACAATGGTATTTCTTGTATTCATTCATACATGTATGCATGCATGTGGGTTTATTACAAAGTAGCAACATGCAAAACACGGATTGCTGCCTTGTCATGGCGAAGGGGTTTGAGTAATTCAGAGAAGCTATGGGCTATGCTGTGCAGGGACACCCAAGACGGACAGGTCATAGTGGAGAGTTTTGACTAAATGCCAAGCCATTCCAGTATCTTTGCCAAGAAAACTCCATGGACATAAACAAAATGCTAAAAGATATGACGCTAGAAGATGAGCCCCTCAGATCAGAAGGCATCCAACATGCAACTGAGGAAGAGCAGAGGACAAGTACAAGTAGCTCCAGAGCTAATGAAGTGGTTGGGCCAAAGCCAAAAGGACGTTCAGCTGTGGACATGCCTGGAAGTGAAAGGAAAGTCCGATGCTGCAAAGAAAAATACTGCATAGGAACCTGGAATGTAAGATCTATGAACCTTGGTAAGCTGGATGTGGTGAAACAGGAGATGGCAAGAATAAACATTCACATCCTGGGTGGCAGTGAACTAAAATGGACGGGAATGGGCGAATTCAATTCAGACAATTATCATATCTACTATTGTGGACAAGAATCCCATAGAAGAAATAGAGTAGCCCTTATGGTCAACAAGAGTGGGAAAAGCTTTATTGTGATACAGTCTCAAAAATGATAGAATGATGGGTGGCAGTGAACTAAAATGGACGGGAATGGGCGAATTCAATTCAGACAATTATCATATCTACTATTGTGGACAAGAATCCCATAGAAGAAATAGAGTAGCCCTTATGGTCAACAAGAGTGGGAAAAGCTTTATTGTGATACAGTCTCAAAAATGATAGAATGATTTCAACACGAATCCAAGGCAGACCTTTCAAAATCACAGTAATCCAAGTTTAAGCACCAACCACCAATGCTGAAGAGGCTGAAATTGACCAATTCTGTGAAGACTTATAACACCTTCTAGAACTGACACCAAAGAAAGATGTTCTTCTCATTATAGGGGACTGGAATGTTAAAGTAGGGAATCAATAGATAAAAGGAACAACACTTAAGTTTGGCTTTGGAGTTCAAAACGAAGCAGGGCAAAGGCTAATAGAATTGGCCTTCTTGAACATGTCCCAACATGTTAACGGCCCCACCCACGTGGGTGGCCACACACTTGACTTGGTTTTTTCCACTAATGGGAGCGAGAGTGGTCCGATGGTGACTGACCTTGAGTCGGTACCCTTGTCATGGTCGGATCACCACCTAATAAAGTGTACCATTAAAATGGCTCTCCCCCCCTGCAGGGAGCAGGGATCTATTGTTATGGTCCGCCCTCGAAGGCTACTGGATCC